TCTTTCCGAGGCGACGTGCCGGGCTGGTTCTATCGGCTGCACTGGGGGTCGGAGCCGGCGGAATTTTTGCGTCGCGGAGGGCGCCTCGCCGCAGGAGCTGCGCCAGCATGGCCAGGGGGAGGGGCTGGACTTCAAGGAGCCCGAGGCCTTGGATATAGGACTGGCGGTGGGCTCAGCCTGGGCGGTCTTTCTGGCCCATGCGCGCATGGGGGCGAGTTTCGAGGCCCTGCAGGCGCCGACTATTACGCGCGGGAAGCCGACCCCGAGCTTTTTGCAGTCCGACCTTCTTTTCGACCTTCGCCGCAGCAGGGGGTCACTCCCTCGAGCGCGGCCGAGGCGGTGGGGGGTGGGGCGTCTGGGGGGGCGGCGGCGAGGCTCGTCCTGATGCTGTGCATCGACGACTACGTCGGCTTTGCGCTGAAGGGCCCCGGCGAGGAGGAGGAGACCCTGCAGGACAAGAAGGAGGCGAAGTAGCTTCTGAACCAGAAGGGCCTCGCGCTCCACAAGGGAGACAGGGGGGGGCTCAACGGGGGACTTGGGCTCGCGATTCCAGCTACGAGGCCGTGCGCGCTGAGGGTCCAGACGAAGAAGTTCGCGGAGCTGGTCTTGGCAACGGAGGCGCTGCTGTTGGAGGACGACGTTCTACCTCTGTCTTGTCAAGCTTGGTGGGCCACTGGACGTGGGCGATGATGGTCTCCAGGCCCGCCTTTGCCATCCCAGACGAGACCTACAGGTGGGCCAGGGACTACGAAGTGGAAGGGTCTGTGGAGCCGCGGAGGTTGCCCGAGCCAAGAGTGGGTGCGGGTCGCCGGCTTGCGACTGCGACCCCGAGGAGGCACGAGCAGATGTGGGTCGTGGGACGGAGGGGCTCTGGGGCCCGCAGATGGAGGAGGTCTACACCGAGATGGAAAGAGAGGTGGAGGCAGTCGGCGACGAGGAGGACCTACCTGCCCGACCCCGAGCGGGTCGCCCGGGGGTGCTGGAGTGGTTTTCGGGTTCGTTCAAGGCTGCCCGGCGCCATCAGGAAGCTCGCGGATTCCTGGGGCGAAGCGCGTGGCATCGGAGGGGGGCGAGTACGACGTGCTCGTCAGCGAGAACCTGGAGTTGCTGCTGAGGAGGCTTCGCCAAGGTTGGCACTGGCGGGTGCACCTCGCACCCCCCTGCGCCACTTTCCCGAAGGCGCGTGCACCACCATTGCGGTCAGCAGAGCACATCTGGGGCTTCGAGGGCTTGGATGCGACGAGTCGGGCGAAGCTCGAGGAGGGGGGCCTGCTGTGCTTGGTGGCGGTGGAAGCGCTGAAGATCTGTGAATATGGCGATTCCCGTCACGCTGGAGAACCCGGCAGGCAGCTACATATGGGCCTTTCCGCCCCTCGTGGAGGTCTTGGCGAAGATGGACGTCTTGAGGGTGGGGCTGGACTACTGCATGTTTGGGGAGATCTGGAAGAAACACACCGCATTCGTCACGAGCGTGAGAGAGGTGACCAGCTTGGCGAGGAGTTTCACGGGGTCTTTTCAGCGCTGCGGTCGCACCCAGAAGCCACGCCAAGAGCCGAGGGGCAAGTCCCCATGCGGGCTCAGGTGGACACAGCTGGCGTGTGCGTACCCACTCGAGTTGTGCAGGCGTTGCGCGGAGATCGCGGAACAGCTCGAGCCGTCTTGGGGGGCGATGCCAGTAGGAGCGAGACTGAGGCTGAGAGGAGGTCGGCCACATATTGCCAAGGCGACAGGTACCACCACCACGTTGATGAGCGACTGGTTGAAGCACCACTGGCACATCCTGTTCTGCGGGAAGTGGGGGGGGCACCAGGAGCGCAACGGCATTCTGGAGCTGCGAACGGTGGTGGCCACCCTGAGGCGTCTGAGCAGGACATCTCAAGCCTGGAACCACAGAATCCGGATTTTCACAAGTTCGCTGGCGTCGCTGGGCGCGCTGTAGAAGGGCCGGTCCTCGGTAAAGGACGTCCTGCACCTGTGCCGCATCGCGGGCATCATACATATGGTCTGCAGGATCAGGGGCAACTGCCGCTGGGTGCCGTCGGAGCTCAGCCTGGCGGACGGGCCTTCGATGGGGGCTACCCATCGGTGCGGCGGAAGAAACGGTCAAGCTCCACGTGGCCCGAGGCGTCCCACAACGACTCCAGCGGCACTTACATCATCGTCAAGATCGTCAGGGGGGGCAAGCGCTGGGTTGGCACATTCATAGCCTTCGGCACATTTATAGCCTTCGGGATGCTGGTGGCGCGCGGGGGGGCCGTCGGGGACTCGGGCGGCCAGAGCCCGCGCGCATCCCGAGCAGAAGGGGCGATTGGACTGCCCCCCATTGGCCAAGAAGGTGGCGCGGGCCTGGGACGAGGCGCAGCGAGACAAGCTGCTCTACGCGAATCGCCTGGTCATCCACGCCGTGGACGACGCGACCAACCTGGCCGACCAGAAGGCGGTCCGCGAGTTCCTGGTGGACGCCGAGGGGAACCAGCTCGACTATACCACTTTCGAAGCGAGGGGCCAGGCGCTGGCGGACTACATCTCGGACATGTGCCACGTGCAGCAGCTGGGCTTCGGGCGCGCCAACATGCTGTTCAATGGCTTCATGCATGTCTTCCAGGACCACCGCGACCGACTGCCGACATCGGCGAGGGCCCTGAAGTCGCGGCAGCGGCTTGGGCAGCTCGGCGAAGGCGCGCCGGTTCCCATGGAGGCGGTCGCTCTGGTGATCGGCAGAATGTCCCGCACGGGCCGCTTGATCGAGGGCTCGGCGGTGCTCGCGCAGCTGGGCGGATGGCTCAGGGAGCAGGACTGGGGCCAGCTCAGGGCCGAGGACGCGTCCGAGGGGCCTGGCGGCCAGCTGGCCTTCACCCTCGGCAGGCGCGAGAGGGGGGGGAAGGTCAAGGCGGGCGCGAGCCAGGGCGTCGTGATCTCGCGGCCGGTGACAGCGGCCGCGGTGCGGGCCCTGTTGCGAGGTTGCGCCCGCAGGGGCCTCGTCTTCCCCATCTCACAGGACAAGTCGAGGCGCGTGTGGCGCAAGGCGCTGGACGAGGCAGGGCTAGCAGGCATGGGCCCCCCCCCCGCGCCATTCGGCATTCAGGGGCGGCCAGCTTCGCGGCAGGAGGCGGCTGCCTGGAGGCTGCGCGACGCAAAGGACGGTGCCAATCGACGACGGCGCTGGCGCGCTACACCAAGACTGACATACTGATCAACCAGTTGAGTAGGATGACGGACGAGCAGGCGCGGGCAGGCGCCCCCTTTTGGGCGGCGCCAGCCGAGAGGCTGAAGGCGTTCATCGAAGGGCCCGCGGCTCAGGCCCCTCTGGCCAGGCACCTGCTGGAGGAGTTGGAGCGGGCGCGCGGCCAAGAGGTCGAGCCCCCGATCTCTGACGGCGGGCGGGTGCTGACGACGGGCCGCCCCAGCGCCGCAGCCCGTGCCCGTGGCAGACGCAAGAAGGGGGCCATTTTGGCGCAATGATTACCTTTCTCTCGCGCTGGACACCCAGCTTCTGCTTCTGTCTGGCCGCGGGGCCCTATCTGTTGATATAGCCGAAGCGTGCTGGCTTCATGTTGATGTGCCCCTCTGTCCTCTCTCGTCTGCCTCTGAACTGAGAGCGGATAATTATTTGGACCGGGGGGGTCGCGTAGAACAGGGGGGCTGGAGCGCAACGTAGATGAATTACCCGAACCCTCCCACCCTATGTGTGCAAGGCTGGCGTTTAGGCATGTGTGCCAGTCTCTACAGATTGGGGCTGGGACTTTGCGTTCCGAGTTTCTCGCTGGCCCCCTGAGGCCTCGCGGCCAGGTCAGGTGCCGCTCGAGGCCGTGGGCCCGCAGAGGCTCGGTCCCGCCTTTGAGCGCCTCGGGGGGGGGGGGCTTCCCCCGCTAGCTCGGCTTGCGGCAATCTCCCGTCGCTCCCGTGGCTGCGTCGGATATTCAGGCATCATGGTGGCGTGGCATCGCGTGCTACTATTCTGCAGGGTTGTCGCTCCAGCTCCGCCTGCCCCCCTTTTTAGAGGCCCCCCCGAGCTTTCAGTACAGAGCTGGCTATTCAATAGATGCGTTAATGTAAATCCGCGTTTTCCAAACACTTTTACAGTAGCATCGTTGACGTTTTAGCCGCCGAAGTCGCCACCCTTTTTACCTTGTATCTGGCTGTAGTCTCGGCCCCACCACTCCCCCCCCTTTGGTCAAAGCCCTTGGGACTTTGCGTTCCGAGTTTCTCGCTGGCCCCTTGAGGCCGCGTGGCAAGGTCAGGTACCGCTCGAGGCCGTGGGCCCACAGAGGCTCGGTCCCGCCTTTGAACACCTCGGGGGGGACTGCCCCCGCTAGTTCGGCCCGCGGCAATCTCCCGTCGCTCCCGTGGCTGCGCCGGATATTCAGGCATCGTTGTGGTGTGGCATCGCTTGCTACTATTATGTCGGGCCGTCCTTCCCGTCTCCGCCTGCCCCCGTTTTTCGAGGTCCCCTCGAGCTTTCAGCACAGAGCTGGCTATTGAACAGATGCGCGAATGTAAACAATGATTGTTCTATTCATCTGCCGCGCGGACAATTGGCGCGCAGTGTTAGCTTCGCTTGCGCGCATCCTGGCTTCCTTCCGTTGCTTCCTTCGCGTTTTTTCGCCCTCCTCTTCTTTTTCCTCTTCCCCTGCTTTGCCTTGTCCCGCCTCCCCTTTCCAGCTCGGAGCTGTCATCGCGCGCGAAGAGCGCAACCCAAAGGGCGTTGCTGCAATTTCATTTTTGACCACGAAGTCTCGTGTGCTTTTTGTCCACGGTCTGGTTACACTTCCAGCGCGGCAACTGCATCCTAGAGCACGGCCGTGCATCAACCCTGGTTCGGATCGCTGGGGATCCAGTGGCATGTGTGCACATGCGTTGCACCGTTGGTGTTGCCAAAACCCTTTGTGTGCAATTCGTATGTTTTTTTCTGGCTCCTAATTTCCATCGTCGTCCTCCAGGCCTCTGCTCCCTCGTCCTCATCCTCCTGCACTGGTCCTCCCCCCCCCCTCCCGTTCAAGGAGGGCGCCTACTGGCAGTGCATCGCCGTGGTGGTGCGTAGCCCCCAGGCACGCACGGGAAGAGTCGGAGGAGGAATGAGAGGGACGATGACTAGGAGATGGAGGAGGAGAAGAAAGAGGAGTATGAGGACGAGGAGAGGAGGAGGAGGAGGAGGAGGAGGAGGAGGAGGAGGAGGAGGAGGAGGAGAAGGAGGAGGAGGAGGAGGAGGAAGAAAAGGAGGAGGAGGAGGAGGAGGAGAAGACGGAAAAGGCGCACGAGAACGGAGGACGCGGAGGCGGAGGATGATGAGGAGGAGGAGGACGACGAGGACGAGGAACAAATTGCTGCTGTTGTTGGGGTCTCGGTGCGTAGGATCTCGGTACGTAGGGTGTTCAGTTGTTGGTGCCCAGGGCCGAACGCTAAACCTGCTAGCGTATGATGGTCGCCGTCGAACGCTGCAACCCTTTGCGTTCGGTGCTCGGCCCAGCGGCGCCAGAGCAATCTCATATCAAACATTAAACGGCACAGTGATCGATATATTTGATGTGGCACGCCCCGAACGCTAGTTCTGTTAGTGTTTGGTGGAATGTTCGTTTTTCCATGCAGGAACAGGGCTGAGATTGGCGCAGGACCCAAAGGAGGAGGAGGAGGAGGAGGAGGAAGGTGGGAGAAGCTTGAGAAGGTGGACTTCCCCTTACGTTTTCCTCTTCCTACTCCTCCGTCGCACATCATGAGAGGATTGGGAGGCGCAGTAGTACGAACCTCCTCCGACTCCTCCTCGTCTTATTCATTTTCCTCCTCCTCCTCCTCATTCTTAATTCGTTTGGTGCGGGTCACCTGCTTACGGGCTGTGGGGGTGTTGCAGGGCCCCGCTAAGTCTCCTACTTGCTCCCAACGCGGTGGTCAAGGGGGTTCCAGGGCTTTGCGGAGCCATGTGCGGCATCCAGAAGGTGTCGTTATTTGAGCATGGCGCCAGGAGTGCGCTGTGAGTGAGTAACGGATGACAGGTGTAAGTTGTAATGCTTGCTGGCCGGCGTGCCGTTGCCTCACTCTTGTTTCTCAGGGTCATCATTGAATTGTTTGTCTCGCGAGACAGTTGCTTGCTATGTACACCCGTTCCTTGAATGTCGCGCCTTCCCACGGCAGTTGGTAGTTGTTGTGACGGTGGCATAGTCGCAGGCAAGGTTTGCAAGCGGGCCTACCCGTAGATTTTTGAGAGTGTACAAGGCGAGTCCTACTCCTCAGGGTATTCGCAGGTTGTTCCACCTCCTCTTGCTCACAGGAGGAGGCGGGGAGGAAAAGGAGGAAGGAGGAGGCGAATGACAGAGGACGGATGAGGAGGGAACAGGACGGAGGACAGTAGGACAGTAGAGGACGGAGGGAGGACACAGGACGGATGATGACCAGGAGGAGGAGGAGGAGGAGGAGGAGGAGGAGGAGTATGAGGAAAGGAAGGTGGAGGCGGAGGGGGAGGAGGATGAGGACGAGGAGGAACAGGCGCAGGAGGACGGATGAGGAGGGAGGGAGGAGGCCAGAGGACGAGCGAGGAGGCCGGAGGATGAGCAGGGGGCAGCAGCCGCAGCAGGCGCAGACGGTCGGTGCCGCGCCCGCGGCGCTGGAGTGGGAGGGGTGCGCGAGCGTGCTCGCCGTCGTCGGCAAGCGCCTCGTGTGCGCGGAGGCGCTCCTCGTCGTCGTCGGCGTCGTCGGCGTCGTCAGCGTCGGCGTCGTCGGCGTCGTCGGCGTTGGCGTCGGCGTCGGCGTCGGCGTCGTCGTCGTCGTCGTCGTCGGGGTCGTCGGCGTCGGCGTCGGCGTCGTGAGCGTCGTCGTATAAACGCTCGTCGTCGCTTGTCGTCGCTCGCCGTCGTCCTCGGCGTCGTCGATGTCGTCGTCCTCGGCGTCGTCGTGTGTGTCGCAGGCCGGGCGCCTCGCGCGCGCAGGAGCGCGAGGAGCGCGAGGAGGAGGAGAAAAGGGGAGGGGAGGATGGGGGGGAGGGAGGAGGAGGCAAGGAAGGAGAGGGGGAGGGTGGGTAGGGTGGGGGAGAATGAGTCGTCCTCCTTCCCGCATTCCCTTTCGCCTCTCGGGGCGCAGCGATCGACCTGGAATCGGGCGGGAATCGACGATCGATCGACGATGAGCCCCCGCTTGCGACTCCGTACGTTCCTGGTTATTGGGCCCCTGTCGGCGATGATTGGGCGATCGGGGGTCGATTCATCCCCCCCGAGCCTATCCCCTCCGTATCGTTGCCCCTGACCTCCCTCCCTCCCTCCCTCGGCCTTCTCCAGCCTCCCCCTCCCCAGACACCCCCCCCTCCCCTCGCCCCCTCCACCCTTTGACCTCATCGGCCCCCCCCACCTCCCGCCTCACCTCCTAAGTCGCTCACCTCCCTAACGCTGCCGCTGACCTCCCTCCCTGGCCTTCCCCTGCCTCGGGGAGGCGGGGGCTGAAGTCGGCTCGCTTGCGCCTCCGCCGTCCCAGAAAGGCCCGCCGCCCCGAGGACGGGGAGGACGAGAAAAGGGAGGACGAGGAGACGAGGAGGAGGAGGAGGACGACGACGAGGAGAACGAGGAGGAGGAGGAGCAGAGGAGGACGTGGAGGAGGATGATGATGATGCTGCTGATGATGATATGATGGTATGATGATATGATGATATGATGATATGATGATATGATGATGATGATGATGATGATGATGATGATGATGATGATGATGATGATGATGATGATGCTGATGCTGATGCTGATGCTGATGCTGATGCTGATGCTGATGCTGATGCTGATGCTGATGCTGATGATGATGATGATGATGATGATGATGATGATGATGCTGATGATGACGCGGCTGCTGATGCTGATGCTGATGCTGATGCGTCTGCTGATGCTGAGGAGGAGGAAGAGAGGAGGAGGTCGAGGAGGACGAAGGCGACGTCGAGGAGCGCCAGGAGGAGAATCAGGAGGTCGAGACCGGAGATGACGGGGTCGAGGACGCGATTCCGCGGACAGGGGAGGACGAAGGGAATTAGGGAGGACGGAGAAGGAGAGGGAGGACGAGGACGAGGACGGGGACGAGGAGGACGGGGACGAAAAAAAGCAAGACAAGGACGGAGACGAGGCCGAGAAGGATGGGAAGGGATGAAAGTGGCCGAGGAGGAGGAGGACGAGGACGAGGAGGAAGTGGGGAGAAGGAACAGGGGGGGGGAAGACGCTTTTGGCTGCTTTCGGTCGTGGCCCGCTTCGACCCTCCAGAGGCCTCTAGAATCGGTAGGGGATGAGATGGCAGCCAAGGGCAACGGACCCCGCGGAGGGGTTCAGGGGGGCGCTTTTTGGAAGGGAAGTGTATAAGGGAGAAGGAGGAGGAGGACGAGGAGGAGGAGGAGGAGGAGGAAGAGGAGGAGGAGGAGGTGGAGGAATAGGAGAAAGAGGAGGACGAGGACGAGGACGAGGACGAGGAGGAGGAGGAGGAGGAGGAGGAGGAGTGGGAGGAGGAGGAGGCAGAGGAGAAGAGGATAAGAGAGGAGGAGGGTAATGGAGTATCATGATGAGGAGGAGGAGGTGGAGGAGGAGGAGGAGGATGGAGGAGAAGGAGGAGGACGGGAAGGGGGAGGGGGGAGAATGCCGAGGGCGAGGGCAAGGGAAGGAAAGGCCAGGAACTCGAGAAAACGGGAGGACGAGAAGGCCCTCCCCCGCCTCCGCCTCCGCCTCCCATTCCTGCTCTGACTGACCTTCACTCTCCGTTCCACGCCCCCCCAGGAGGAACAGACGGGGAGGTGAAAGGGGAAGGTGGCAGAAGTCGGGTAGGAGTTCGATGCTGATAATGATGATTTTGATGTTGATGCTTATGATGATGATGATGGTTATGATGGTGCTGATGATGCTGATGCTGATGCTGAACATGATGACGGCGATGATGAAGATGATGATGGTGCTGATGTTGTGGATGTTGATGATGATGATGATGATGATGATGCTGATGGTGGTGCTGATGCTGAGGCTGTTGCTGATGATGATGATTATGATGATGACGATGCTGATGATTATGACAACGGCGTCGACGATTATGATGATGATGGTGCTGAAGATGGTGGTGCTGCTGATGATGATTTTGATGATGGCGACGATGCCGAATATTGAAAGTATGATGACGATGACGTTGAATGATGGTGATGGTGATGATGATGATGATGTTGATGCTGCTACTGCTGATGATGCTGATACTGATGACCATACTGGTGATGATGGTCATGCTGATGCTGAGGGTGAGAATGAGGATGGTGATGATGAGGATTATGCTGATGCTGATGCTGATGGTCAAGACGATATTGCTGAAATTGTTAATTGTGATGTTCATGCTGATGATGATGACGAGGCTGCTGATGAAGCTGATAGTGGCAATTACTATGATAGCGATGCTGATGGTGCTGATGCGTATGAGGATGATGCTGATGATGATGCTTATGATGATGGTGTTGATGATGACCATGCTGATGCTGATGAGGTTGGTGATTCTGATTATGATGCTGCTGATAATGATGATGGTCACGATGATGGTGTTGATGCTGATGACGATGCTCCTGATGATGGCGGTGATGTTGGCGATGATGAGGCTGTTAGTGATGATGCTGCTGAGTATGACGAAGATGACGACACTAATGCTGATGCTGGTAATGATGCTACTGATGATTGAGAGTAATGATGCTGATGGTAATGGTGGTGGTTGTGATTCTGCTGATGATGATGATGATGATGATGATGACGCGAGTGATGCTGGTGATTATGATGACTACAAGGGTACGATGATGATGATTATGTTGATGATGATCGTCATGATTATATGGTGATGGCGATGTTGATGGTGATACTGATGACGATGTCGATGGCGATATCGATGGTGATGGTGATGGTGATGAGCCCATGGTGATGGTGATCATTGGGAGGAGGATGCGGAGTGCGAGCGACGAGGATGCTGAGAACGAAGAGGAGGACGGCTACGATGACACGGGGAACGACGATCTGTAGGATTGCGACCACGACGACGATGGTGAAGGCAAGGACGACAATGACGAGGATGAGGACGAGGACGAGGACGACCGAGGAGCAAGCAGCGGGCCCGAGGCCGGCGCGTCGAAGCAGGCTGCCGTGTACGCAGAGTTCGAGGTGTCGCGCGTGCTGAAGGCCCTTTCGCCGTCACCGTCGTTTTCGTTGTCGTCGTCGTCAGCGTCTTCTCGTTTGTCCTGTGTCGTCCTCGGAGTTACCTTTCCTGGAGGGAGGGGGAAGAGGAGGACGAGAAGGAGGATTGTCATGCCCCTGTGATGTGATGGTTCTTGATCTTCCTGGCCCCCTCTCCGACTGCGCTTCCTCCTGGACGCCCCTTCCATCCTCCTGCTTCTCCTCTCCCTCTTTCCCCCTGTGGGGGGGTGGAAGGAGGAGAAGGGGGAGGAGGAGGGGGGGGGGGGAAACACGGCGTCTACCTCTGCTGGATTGCTCCCTCTCGTGGACGCTTGGTCCACCTCGTCCTCGCCTCGTCCTACTTGTCCTTCTCGACCTTTCTCCCTGCTCTCAGGAGGGGAAAAAACACAGACACAATTAAACGTCGACTCCCAGGAAACTATGGGAAAATATGGGAAGTGTGGGGAAGACCGAAACCCAGAAACTAGGGGAAAATATGGGGAATCTTATTGTTTGTGTCTATTTATGTGTGTGTGTGTGTCCTTGGGCCCCTTTAGTGCTCCCATCCTCCCATCCCATCTGGGGCCAATCTATGAGCGCGGACAGGGGGGCGCCACACTGGGAGAGGACGGTGTGGATGATGTTGTCGTTGATGATGATGATGATGATGAGGGTGGTGATGCGTGTGATGATGAGTGTAATGATGATGATGATGATGATGATGATGATGGCGACGATGCCGATGATGCGAATGCTGTTGCTGACGATAATGGTGATGAAGGTGCTCATGCTGATGCTGCTGATGCTGATGATGATGACGATGATGATGGTGGTTATGAGGATGCTGCTGCTGCTGCTGATGATGATGATGATGATGATGATGCTCATGATGATGACGACGATGACGACGACGACCAGGACGACGACGACGAGAAAGACAATGGAGGACTACGACGAGGACGTCGACGACGCCTCCGACGTCGGTGCTGACGCCGATTGTGGTGATTGCGATGATGATGGTGCTGATTATGATGATGATGATGATGATGATGATGATGATGATGATGATGTGAATTCTAGACGCTTCGAGTAACCCCACCAGCTGACGCCTGGTTCAGTGATGACCTGTCTTCGAGCACATGAGGTGCTCTGTGAGTGAGGCCCCCTTTGCCCCCCTGTCCCTCTCCCGCCCCTCTCTTCCCCCCCTTTTTTCCGCCCCAGTCGCCCTGCCCTTTGCCGTCCGGTCTGTCGGGTGCTGGCGCCACTGTGCGACGCCCCGCTGTCCGTCGTCGGCTGCCGTTTTGGTTCGGCTTAATGAGGTTAATTTTGTTCGTCGCATGTGCATTCCGGCGTTGGCTTTTGGCCCGCTGGCAATTATCTTGCTTGTTGCCCCAAGCTTGTTTCTCCCGCTCTCTGGAATTGTCCTTGCGAGCCGCCGATCAAAAAAAGTAACCCCACCAGCCCATCCAGACACGATGCCCCGAGGAATTGCCTCGATCAGGAAAGTGGGCAGCACACGCTGCCCAAACCAAAAATTGAGCTTGTTTTTTTTTGTTGTAAAGCGAAAACTCACCTGCCAAGGCCTAAGCGAATCCGTCTGGGACAGCGTGGGATTCCGAACCAAGCATCGCGCAACAATCCGTTCAGCATTATTCAGCCCAGAACTCCTAGGAGACTCCCTGGGAGATGGCTTCCTGGATCGGAAGGTGGGCGGGGAACCACACAATCCGGGGGGGAGCTCGCTGTTGCCTAAAATGCCAGCCTGAATCGGCGCGTGCTTACAGCTCCTAGAGTAGACTCCTCGTCCCAAGAGTTTCCCTCGCGCACCGGCCTGGAGGTCAGACACAACCGGGCAACTATGCGGTGCTTGCCACAATGCCCGCCTCACGGCCCAACGCTCCGCGCGGCCGATGGTTTGGCGGCATCCAGGCAAGGCACACCATACATTGCACGAAGAGGGAGGCGTGAGGCCATCTGGACGGAAGCCCATCCTGCTCTCGGAGCTTCGGGGGTGCTGGATCGGAGGCAACTCCCGTCGACCAAAAAATTAGGCCCCCGAGTTCCCGAGAAAACGCCCCTCTTTTTGAACCTCGGGCTGGGCCTCAGGGGCTTGCGCATCAACCGAACGCGTGGGGACGTCAAGCGTTCAATAGGTGGTGTCCGCTTGCGGCTGGCCAGTGATGTCTGCAGCGCAGCTCCGAAGGACCGCACGGCCTCACGGTGGTTCAAAACGAGAGGGTGAATTTCTTCTCCCACAGCATCCACGCCGTCATTGACGAGCCTGCCGCAACAGTGCCAGACGTGCCCGTAGGAGCCCAGGGGAGCAAGACGTGCGCGGCAATGCGGGTCGACATCGGGAAGTTGCACCGCCCGCGTCGTTGGGAGAATAATGGTGTCCTGCCATACCGCCGAGAGAGCCCCCAGTTGCCGAGGGCATTGTATAGCTTCGACGTATCCCTTCAAATCCCGATGCCCCAACTGCTCATTCCGCGCAGACTTCCCACAGTGCGATAAGAGTCGTCGGTACTGCCACCGTTGTATTCTGTCGACCAGATCCAGTTTCATATCAGCAAGGCACGTGGTGTGGATGCTAGTCTGCTGGCCAGTATTTGATGTATATAAATATGTATATACGTAGCACACCGCAGGTGCGGATAAGAGTGAGGGGGCGGCGAGGTCGTCGTCAGTCTGCGAAGCTCAGAAGAAGCCCGCCGCAGGCGCCTGACTTTTTACAAATTATGTATGCAGTGAGCCCGCCGTAGGCGCCGAATTCTTCGTTAAGGCAATGTGGGTGGATCGCGGGGTGGGTCGCGAGTCGGTCGCGGGTGGGCCGCGGGACGGGTCGCCGATGGGTCGCGGGAGGGTCGCGTATGGGTCGCGGGTGGGTCGCAGGGTGGTCGCGGGGTGGGTCGCGGGGTGGGTCGCGGGTGGGTCGCGGTGGGTCGCGGGTGGGTCGCGGGGTAAGTCACGGGGTGGGTCGCGGGGGGGGGTCGAGGGGTGGGTCGCGGGTGGGTCATGGGCGGGTCACGGGGTGGGTCGCGGGGTGGGTCGCGGGTGTGTCGCGGGGTGGGTCGCGGGGTGGGTCGCGGGGTGGGTCGTGGGGTGGGTTGCGGGGTGGGTCGCGGGTGGGTCGCGGGCGGGTCGGGGAGGGGACGACGACAACAACAACAATCAGCAACCTCATGAAGCAATTAAGAGCCCCCCCTTTTCGGCGAAAGTAGAACGCACCCGGCCCCCCAGAAGCGTTACTTTGGCAGTGCGCACCTTTATGTGAACGCAGACGAGTCTGCTTGCCGAAACAAGTCAACCGCCTGAGACAGTATGGCAATATGGTTACTAATATTGTTATTGTGTTCATTCTTATTCTAATTCCAATTGGGATACCACCCGAACCGGGGCGCGGGAATTATTCATGTTCGTTCCATTTGCGCGGTGCTACTCATATCGTGCGGCGAAAACCACCCCCCAGAATTATTTGATTACGGTGATGTGCTTATGATACCCCCAGGGGTTCCTTAATGGCTTCATGAAATAATCCTCCCCGCGGATCCCCACTTCCGCCACGCACCCGGGAACAAAGAATGAGCGTTCGGCCCCTTCCTTCCGATATATGTATATATATATGTGTGGATTACAGACAAGATATTGATGCATAGGTATACATCAAAAAAACTGTGTCGGTGAAAATAAGCACAACTACCACACACACGATCATACATGTAAATATGGCATACATGCTTATTGTCATTATTGAAACGATACAATGTCGTGCGCTATCTGACATACAGATGTATGTGATCTGGTGTATATATAAATAAACAGGATGTGCGCACTTCCCCTAGACCACCTAATCCTGTGCACCGTGATCCAGCAGGCCGACATCGGCTCCTTGACGACAATTATGCCACGATTGGTTGTCATCCACGTAGGTCTTCAGCACAGCCCAGGCCCGCTGGGCCCGTCCTGAGCTGACTCTGTTGCCCCAGATTCGAGTGGCGTATCTAATCGTGACTGCGAGCGTGCAGTCGAAGATATGGAAGTGGTAGGGGTCACGATGGGCCAGGAGGTGAGCCGTGACTCCTCCATGCCTTCTGCCGCCTGACAACGTTGAAGCCGTGTGCCCCAAGTGGCGGAGTGAAACGTCGGAGACCCCGGCGACACACCGTGGCCGGCACTAGGGAGAGCGCCAGTGCGCCACGACAGAGAAATTTTGCGCCCCACGTTGTCACGCAGCGCCATGTCCTTACGTGTCCTGATGCCTATTGCCTGGATGCGTGTCTTCTTTTGTAACCTGAGAACATTTGGCCCCGTAAGCTCGTGTCGGAGATTGTTCATCCAAGTTGGAAATTGTATCTCCAGCTTCTCAGCTCCTCGTTTGAACACCTTGCTCTTGGCGGTGCTGGCTACTATCCATGACTTCAGGGGCTGCTGAAAGAGACCGTGCGCGCCACGTCTGAGGTAAAGACCCTCGCTGCCTTCACAAGCTGAGCCAGCTGAGCGGGTGTGGCGGCTACCAACTGGAGGGACACGTCGTCCACCAGCGCACGCGGCGTCATGCATGGAGAAGCATGGTTGCGTCGCCTAACGCCCGATATGATTTCAGAAAGAGCATGACAGTGGCAGTCGAGAGGAGGAGGAGGAGGAGGAGCAGGAGCAGGAGCAGGAGCAGGAGCAGGAGCAGGAGGATGAGGAGGAGGAGGAGGAGGATAACATTGGAAGAGGAGGCGGTGGCGGGGAGGAGGAGGAGGAGGAGGAGGAGGAGGATCGACAGGAGGAAGAGGAGCGCCATGATTGACTCAGAGGAGCAGAGGAGGAGACGGAGGAGGGAATGTGGGCCGTGTTATCGAGGTGACGTCCAAGAAGCAGGCGCCCGACGTCTTGATCTTCTATTTCCGCGAGGACACCAGGGAGCCTCCGGATAGCCTCCACTCCCCTCAGGGACCTTCCAGGGATTCGAAGTGGATTTGTACGTAGAGACAAAGAGAAACGGGCGTAGTAGGAGAAGGAGAAAAAGGAGGAGAAGGAAAAGAAGGAGCACCCTCTCCGCACAACGCGACGTGGTCTTGTTCGGGAGTACCAGGTCGGCTATGACACGAGTCCGCAGATAGAGACAACACCACGTAGCGCCATGGGAAGTGATGGGAGGGAGGGATAGGATGCCAGATGCGGCGCGAGGGCACCGGGCCTGTCCGCCTGCCTCCCTCGCCTCTCCTCCCCCATTTGCTGCCTGACATCCGCCGAGGCTTTTTTGTTCAGCCCGCGAGGCCCGGACCGCTCCCCCCCGGGGGGGGGGGATCTTTCTAAAACAGGGCCAGGATCGGGATACATCGCTCCAGAGCGTTCCAGAGCGCTCTCAGAGTGTTCCGGAACGCTCTGGAGCGGCCGCGGCGCCCAATACATCCTCCAAAACCGCCGATTCTCAGAGATTTCGAGTTATCCCGATCCGATTTTGTCCCGATCCTCGCGTCGTTTTAGCTTCCACCGCTTGCTTGCCCCGTCTTCCTGTCCGCTCGCCCCGCGTCTCCTGGCTCGTCATCTCTCCACGCCTGGCGTCCGCCCCCTGCCCTTTCTGGCGCCTCGGGGCTGCCGCCGGACCGAGGTATAAGGCCGAGGTCGGCTGGGGGCGGGTGCCCTGATGCATTTCGTGTCTGTGGGACGTTCTTGCGCATCCTGGGGAGGGTGCCCTCGGATGTTGTCTGTGTTGGCCGACGGAGAGTCTCATGTTATTGAAGGATGTTCTTCTGGCCTGTGTCCGCGGGTAGGGCACCCGGGAGGTAAGCGCGCGATGCCTCGTATCCTTGATCAGATCGACGAAGCAATCCGACACCCCGGTGGAAAGGAAATGCAACTTTTGCAGGTCGTGTCGAATCCTCGTCGCGGGGACTATTTCCTGGGGGCAATTTTGTCCTCCAGGGTCCGTTACTGGTGGTCCTGGGCCCCGAAAGCGGCTCCTGGAGGCCAGTACCGACGAAACGCTGGAGGGGGCGGAGGCCAACAGGTCGACGATGACAGTTGCATTACGGATTGCAAAAAAACCGAAGGATTGCAAAAAAACGAAGGATTGCAACAAAAACGAAGGATTGCAATCCTTCGTTCAAAGGTTTTTTTTTTTTGCAATCCTTCGTTTTTTTTGCAATCCTTCGGTTTTTTTTGCAATCCTTCGTTTTTTTGCAATCCTTCGGGCAGGTCGACGATGAGAGTCGTGCCGCGTTTTCCAGGGCAGTGCAGATCGACGGGGCGCCCCCCTCCCCGCGAGGGCCTCCGCTCCGTGATCGACTCGTGTGCGCCGCACTGCCTTGGCGGCTCCCGAGGCGTCGTCGCCCTGGCGCCCAGGAGCGGTACTCCGGATTTCGTAAGAAAGGGAGGGGGGTCTCATTTCGGGGGGGGTCTCTTCCAGGCTATCTTGGAGGGCCTGGGGGGGTCTGGGGACGATGCTTTGGGGGGTTCTCCCACGGGGGGGAGGGTCTGAAATGGCTTGTCTTGGAGGGTCCAGGCCCCCTCCCTTTTATTACGACATCTGGAGTACGGTGCACGGTTCCTCGGCCCCTCGGATCCGAAGTGCTGTGCTCCGTACCGCTTCGATTAGGTGAGGGCGTGTCCCCCTGCAGGAGGAAGATTCGGACAGAGTCCAAACGCAGTCTGGGGATTCTTTTGGATCATGCTTGATCACTTTTTGAGCATGTTTCAGGTGCTTCGTATTTTTCCTCCGGAGTCTGCCTGTAGGGGGACATGCCCGCCCCAAGGCTTCTGGAGCGGTGCCAGAAGGGAGTCCACACACCAGCGACGCAACGCAGCGGGACCCACCGCGCCAACATCCGCGCGCGAGCTGCTGCCCGCGCAAGGCCGCGCGCGAGCGCCCCGCTCCTCCACGCGGTGTGCCTCGCGGGCGGCCCGCGCGAGCCACCGCGTCAGGTCGCGATGCCACCTCGCGCGAAACCCGCTGCTTCTCGCCGACGACCTGGTACGGTGTGCACGGGTACTCCAGGTTTCGTAATAAAAGGGAGGGGGTCTGGACCCTCCAAGACAAGCCATTTCAGACCCCCCCCGTGGGAGAACCCCCCAAAGCATCGTCCCCAGACCCCCCCAGGCCCTCCAAGATAGCCTGGAAGAGACCCCCCCCGAAATGAGACCCCCTCCCTTTCTTACGAAATCTGGAGTACGGTGTGCACGAGTGAAGCGTTCCCGTGCCCGGGGGAGGGCCCCGGGCCGCGATGGCGAGCCACGCCGCGAGGGTGTGATGGCGCCGGATGGATGCCTTCCGGGAGCGGCGCGCCGAGAGCGGCCCGGCCGGGACCGGTGAGGTGGTTGGCCCTCGTCTCGCTCGGCTCCGTCGCTCCCCCTCCTCGTCTTGCGCTCCTGCCTCGACCGACGAGGCGGGGGGGACCAGGAAGGGCCCTCTGCCCTCCTCCTCCTCCTCCTCCTCCTCCTCCTCCTCCTCCTCCTCCTCCGCCTCCTCCTCCTCCTCCTCCTCGCCCCCCCCCACACGGGCGGCGCGCGAGGACGAGCGCGGCCAGGCGGCCGCGCGAGCGTCGCCCGGCGCGGGCGCGGCGGAGCCGGCCATGGCCTCCCCGGGGGCCGCCAAGTCGTCGCCGCCGCCGTCGTTCGGGGGCCCGCCAGGCTCCGAGGTTCGATGGTGCCTGTTTTTCTTTGGATTCGGGCAAGTTTACTTGCATGGACGGGGGGGGGCTGAGTCTGAAGCAAACCGAAAACAATTCGACGTGCGGAAATCACGCAAGTCGGAAAGGCACTTGCACGCTCGTGTTCGAGTGAAGAGGGGCGAGGGGGGAGAGGGGGGGGGGGGGGGCGAATGCCATGCAAGTAAGCTTGCCTGGATCTAAAGAAAAACAGGCTCGGATCTTCGCGTTGGTCCCCGGCGGTGCTGCAGCCTCGGGGAGCTCTCCAGCGGCCGCTCTGTCCAAGAGAGCCCAAGACCGCCCCAGAGGCCCCCCAGAGGCCCCCAAGAGGCGCCCAAGGGGCGTCCTAAGAGGGCCCCAAGAGGCCGAAATCATTGACTTTCCATAGGAAGACGTATATTTTTAGAATCTATGGCTTTTCGGCTTTCGCGGCGTTGACGGCGGCACAAGAGGCCTCCAAGACGGCCCCAAGACGGCCCAAGAGGCTCCCAAGAGGCCACCCAAACGGCCCAAGAGGGCCCCGAGACGGTCCACGAGGCGCCCAAGACGGCCCATGAGGGCCCCAAGACGGCCCCAAGAGGGGGACCACAAACCGAAAAGTATAGTTTTTCGTCCCAAGAAGCTCCCAGGAAGCCCCCAGAGCCCCCCAAGAAGCCTCAAGAGGCCCCCAAGAGGCCTTCAAAAGAGCCCGAAACGCAATATGACTCCCGAGAAGGCCCAGAGACGCCAAATAGAGAGCGATCAGTAACGCAAAAAGCTCTTCACACCAAGGCTCCCAAGAGCGAACGGTGACGTAAACAAGCTGATAAGACCAAGGCTCCCAGCAGAGAGCGGTGACGCAACAAGTTCCTGACACCAAGGCCCAGCCAAGGCTCAGAAATGGGCGGCAACGCAACAATCTCTGAAAACCAAGGCTCCCACGAGCAAGGGGTGACGTAACAAGCCCTCAACGCAAAGGCTCCCTGTGCGAACGGTGGTGTGAGTAATGTACGTTGTTGAACGAGTTTGCATCGCACAGTTCCGTTTCAGCCCTGCTCCATAGTCTTTCTGGCTCATGGACTTGGCCCTGCGGGGCTTGCAGGCCGTCGCTCCGTGGACCCCCCTCCTTTCAGTTGCACGCTGTCCCGACTGCCATTGCATCGCGGATTGCCAGGTCAGCAGCGACATCGTGAGTCTGCTGGGACGTCAGCTGGAGCGCTGCGGTCCAGAGCAGCTCAATTGCCCTGCGTGCCCGAGCTGTCCGTTGCTGCAGTGCCCCGAGCCGTCGTTCGCGCTGGGCACCTTCATTGCGGGGCTGCTCGCAGGTGTGCTCTCGGCAGCGACAGCCGGGTTCTTGTGGAAGAGGGCTTCGCGTGCACCGAGGCTAGGATTGGATGGCGGCCCGCAGCCCAGCAGAACGCACGCTGCGCTGCCTGCAGAGCCTGCAGGTGGGGTCGAGGGCCCTCGCCTACTACGATCCGCGCGATGACTACTGGCATGAGAGGATCATGCTGGCGCACATTCAGGACTTCCGCTTCGTGGTGCTCACCGCGCACTGGGACATCTATGATGAGGATATGTCCCAGGCGCTCCGCCTGCTGCCGCTGGGTCCTCAGGGCGGCCTTCCCGTGCCGAGGCCACAGGGGCAGATCTTGCGGGTGGACAACGCTCGCCTCAGCGCCGAGTTGCAGCAGCTGTGCGACGAGGCGGCGCAGATGGCATTGGACATCCGCGAGGAGGAGGGCTTGCCGGCCCCAGCGGCGCACCAGGGGGTGCTCGCCGACGGCGAGGCGGAGGCGCTTGCCGAGGCGCCGGCCCCTGCGGCGCTGGCGGCCGCCGCGAGGCCCGCCGGGCCTGCGGCTGGAGGCGCGGCTGCGGCCGGCGCTCTGGCGGCGGCGCCGGCCGCGCCGCTTAGGGCACCCGCGGCAGGCGCTCTCCTCGCCCCAGCACCGCCGCGGCCCGCGGCGCCGCCAGCAGACGCGGTCTGGCTCTCGGCGGAGACGCGTGGGGGCTTCACGGCCGGGGCCCCTATCCCGCCTGAGCTCCTGGGAGCGGATGGCCAGCCGCAGGTCGTGCTGGGCGATCGCGGGGTCGTGGTGCTGGCGTCGGGCGTCTCGCTTGCGGTCGCAGTGGCCAACGCCCTGGAGGCAGGGGCGGCAGCGCTCTCCAGCAGCGGGGGAGACCTTCGCACGCTGCCGGTGCTCTACTCGCCAGCTGGCGGCCGCTCCAGGTCCTTCCACGACGCCGTGGCCAAGATGCCCACCGCGCCCTTCCCAGACTGGCGCATCAAGGGGCCAAGGACCGCGGCCTGGCTGCTCGAGAAGATCTCGGAGGCGGGCTACACGCCGCTGCAGAGGCATTTCTGGTGGAGGTCGATCCAGGGGCTCACAGCTTCCGACTCGGGCGTGGACGACCACCACTTCATCTCCGAGGTGCTGCAGGAGCTCACCACCTACGACCAGCTCAACGCTGGCGAGCTGGTGGCGGTGGAGATCCTCTGCCGCCGCTACCAGCTCTGGGAGGAGCTGTACGCCTCGAGCTTGCGCGAGGCCGAGGCTGGTCAGGACGCTGCACCCTGGCTCGATGAGCGATCCATCTTCCTCGGGCAGGACAGGAGCCGCGGCTCGGCGCTTGTCTGCCCCGCCTTGGAGAGCTGGGTGGCTGAGAAGCTCCGAGAGGAAAGTGCCATCCTCAAGGAGCGCAGGAAGGGGCGAGAAGAAAGGCTGCTGGAGCGCGGCGTCGACGGCGGCGCGGCCTCTGGCGAACCATCGGCGGGTGCCAAGGCTAAGGCACGCGGCCGCGGGCGCGGCCGTGGCGCCTGAGGCGCCCCCTCGCGCCGGGGATGCCCCCGGCCTCGGCGCGAGTTTGCAGGGGAGGCGAGGCGTGCTGAACGACGATGCCACCTCGCTGGGTTTTGGCGATGACAGTCTCACGCAAAGGGACGCGCTGCCCATCCCGCTCAGCTCGGAGGCGCTCCAGTGCTTGAAGGGGTTCTCGGCCCTCGACTGCGAGCTCTCGCTGGGGCAGCGGCGCAAGGCCGCACGCTGCAGGCGCCAGGAACGCTGGATGCTGGAAGGCGTCGCGGCGCTCAACGAGCTGGGTGGGGGTGGGCGGTTGGCTGACAGCGGCGGGCGGCTTGGCTTGGCGCAGCGCTCCGCGTTGCAGCATCTGGGTGAGGTCTACGCCGCGGTCCCGCCGAAGACTGAGGATTGCACCAACCAGGAGGCGTTCCAGGCGCTTCTGGGGCTTCGACCTGGCTATGCTGATGAGCCAGCCATCGGGGCGAGAGCCGGCTACCAGCGCGGGAGGGTTTCCCTTCCTTCTGGCGGTGCTGGGCGTGTCGATCTTGTTCGGCTACTGCCCCCGCACCTGCAGTCAGCGCTGGAGTCCGGGCACGGGTTATTGCGCTCGGAGCAGGAGGCTACTGCTGCTCTGGAGGAGGCTGACGTCACGTGTTACGTGGACGGCAAGCTGGCCCAACGGGGCATTGACTACGGACGGTTCCTGCTCGAGCTTTACGATGCAGGGATCGTTGAAGTTTTGGATTATGAGCTGGATCGGAAGGAGCAGACTGGCGTCTTTTTTGTGCCTCGCAAAGATGACAAGCTGAGGCTCATCTTCGACACCAGGAGGGCGAACTGTCACATCAGGGCGCCCGAGTACACGCACTTGGCCTCCGGCGACGCCCTCAGCAGCTTGGAGCGCACGCCCGGCGAGGAGGTGCACTTGGCGGCGGGTGACGTGGAGGTCTGCTTTTACCAGTACGTGCTGCCCGCATGGGCTAGGAACTACTTCTGCCTGCCGAGCCTGGCGACTCGCATGCTGCCTGTCCGCCTGCGTGAGGCGCTGGGGCCTGAGCTTGCGGCGCGGCCCAGGATAGCCTTCCGCGTGCGAGTCGTTCCCATGGGATGGAACTGGGCCGTCCACTTTGTGCAGTCTGCCCACCTGAACGTGCTGGCCTCGGTCTCTCCGAACAACCAGTGGTTGGTGGACAAGCAGCCTGGGACGTGCCTCTCGGACAGCTCAGCTGCAGCCAAGGTCTTGTACATAGACAACTTTGCGGCCATCAGCACCAGTCGCGAGACAGCGTTGCAGGTTGTCAACGACATGCTTGGCTCGTTCACCAGTGAGAGCGTCAGGGCGTCGCTTGACTTGGACGTCGTCCTCCTCGGCTTCACGCTGGACTCTAAGGCCGCCAGGTGGCGCCCCGCACCCAAGAAGTTTTGGAGGGTGCACGGCTGCATCTCGCACTTGCTGGAGCCAGGAAGGCACATCACGGGACGCCAGTTGGAGAGGCTCGTAGGGCACGTGGTCGCGCTGCTGCTGCTGCGGCGTGAGGCTCTCAGCCTCCTCAGTGCGGTCTACGTCTTCATCCGCTCGACCTACGGCAGGGCGCAGCCGCTGTGGCCCAGCTGCCGACGCGAGCTCAGGTGGGTGCTTGCGTTGTTGCCCACGGTGTTCGCCGACATGAAGAGGCCTTAGCACTCTGAGGTAGGTGCCTTTGACGCGTCGCCTTGGGGCGCGGGAGTCTGCACTGCGCGCTGGCCTTTGAGCGCGGTGCAGGCCGCGGGCAGGCAGCCGGAGAAGCTGCGCTTTCGCGGGCCCCTCGCCTCACTGGTGGCGCCGCGGGGCGCTGCCCTGGCCGCCGACAGCATCGAGCTCTCTGACCCAGCCGCACTCCTGCTCGGGCGCGCGGCGGGTTTCGCCGAGGTGAGCGCAGAACTGCTGCGTGAGGCGACCTGGATCACGGCTGTTGCATGCAGATGGAGGCGCCAAAGTACTATCCACAGGCTGGAGAGCTCAGCAGGGCTTCTCTGGCTGCGGCGCGCCTCCCGCAATTCGAGATGTCACGGGCATCGCTTGCTGGGCTTGGGCGACAACATGTCGATGATTTGCGCCCATGAAAAGGGTCGTGCATCCGACTTTGGTCTCTTGTCCGGCTGCCGTTGTTCGTTGTTCCTACGCCATATCGGTCGCCTGCAATCTCAAGGTCACGTTCAGATGGATCCCCTCAGAGCTAAACCCTGCTGATGGCCCGTCAAGACGGTTCCAGTCTGGTCCGGAGCCGTCTTGGCCCAAGCACGGGGACCAGTTCAGGCGTCACTGCAGCAGTGGCCATGCAGGAGGTCCGCACGCTCCAGGCAGCTCCGCCGTTCGGCCAGCCAAGCCTGCCAGAGGTGGGAGGCGCTTCGCCGACCCGGAAGCGAGCCGTTGGTGGTGGCGGATCCGCAAGGAGCAGAGCGCAGCTGCCGCCGCCTTCCGCCCAGGAGCGGGCCCGCTTGCTGCCCCGCCAGGGCTTTCTGGCAGCCAACAAGGTGCGGCCGTCCACTCAGGTGCTCTACCTGAAGGTGTTGCGGCTGCTGGCAGGCTGGCTCATGGTGGACGCCCTGCCCGACTGGCCCGTGGCTGCTTGGGACGCAGCGTTGGCCGACTTCCTGCTGTGGGCCTTCGACCAGGGAGTGGCGCGGGCGACGGCTGCAAGGCTTGGCGCCGCGGTGCTGTGGGGGCTCCCGCAGCTCCACGTGGCGCCCTTGCAGAGATGCTTCCCGCAGCTCGCACACTCGCTGGCGGGTTGGAAGCGCCTGCATCTGCCAGGCTCGCGCCCGCCTCTTCCAGAGCTTGTGGTTCGCGCAGCGGCAGCTTGGCTTGGGCACCAGGGCGAGTTTGCGACCGCCTTGTGCGTCATGCTGATGTTCGAGGGCTACCTGAGACCCTCGGAGGCGCTGGCGCTGCGGGCCGCCCAGCTCACCGGCCCTTTCGGCTCGGCCACCAGCGCGGGCTCACACATGTCAGTAGTGGTGCATGCTGCAGAGTTGCAGCAACCGGGCAAGACAGGCGAGATGGACCATACCGTTGTGCTCGACCTCCCGCGCCAGCAGGTCCTGGCTTGGGCCTTGGCGCGCCTACGCGACTCCCGCCTGGGCTCCTGGCACCCGCTGTGGGACTTCGACTACAACCTCCTCCAGCGGCGGTTTGGCCAGGCGCTCGCGGCTGTGGGAGCCAGCTGTTTAGCAGGCGCGCTCTACAGCCTCAGGCACGGCGGCGCCAGCCACGACCGCCTGACGGCCAGCCGCGCGCGAATGGAGGTGCAGCAGCGAGGAAACTGGCGCGCCTTCAACAGCGCGCGGCGCTACGACAAGCACGGGCGAGTGTCGATCGAGTGGGTGAAGATTCCAGCCCACCAGCGGCAGGAGATCGAACGTTTGGCCGCTGGACTCGACGCCGCCTTCAAGCTGTACTCGCCTCAGCGGTGATGAGTAGCAAAGGTCATGACTCCCGCATCTTCATTGAACTCTTCAGTGGCTCTGGCAACCTTTCGCGACACCTGCGACAGACAGGGCATGCAGTCATTGAATGGGATGTCCTGCACGGGCAAGAGTTTGATCTCGCCCAGCCTGCGCCGTGGGCTGTGCTTCGCGGCTGGATTGCCAGCGGCAAAGTCAAGGCTATTTTCATGGGCACGCCTTGTGGGTCGCTTTCTCAAGCGCGACGAGGCGGCCCCACTTCTCGCATGCCTCGGCGCCTTCGTGACGGCTCTCACATCTTTGGCTTGCCAAACTTAGCTGCTGCCGATCAGGCCAAGCTTGAGCTTGGCAACCTGCTCGCCTCCCGAGCGGGCCAGATCTGGCAGCTAGCTGCAAAGTTTGGCATTCCTGTCGGTGAAGAGAATCCCTGCAGCAGTTGGCTTTGGCATTTTCCAGACAGAACTCGCCAGCATCACCCTCCTTTCTTCTTCGAAGCAATTGTTGACCAGCGTGCTGCAGGTCGGCCCTTTCGAGCTCGCACTAAGTTCCAATTCTTGCATTGTCGCCCCTCCCCTTCTCTCTTGTCTATGAAGTGTCATGGCCGTGGTGTGTGTGTGTGTGAGTTTTCTGGTCAGCCTCATCTTGAGCTGTCTGGGAAGGAAAGCGGTGCCACTCACCTCCGCACTCACCAGAAGGCCGCCTATCCCGACGCCATCTGCAGGCAACTTGCTCGAATGTTCTCGCAAACGATTGTCGCCAGGATGGTCTCCCGAAAATGGATGTTACTTCACGGCTAAGCCGGTGCAATGCTTGCTGATGGGTACTGTGCTTTGTTGTAGATGGGCCTTTGCCGCCTGCCAAAGCTGTCCTGTACCAGGCTCCGTTCCTCAAGCAGATACTGGAAACAAGATGATGCATGTACGTTGTTGAACGACTTTGCATCGCACAGTTCCGTTTCAGCCCTGCTCCATAGTCTTTCTGGCTCCCAATGCCAGCCCGTTGCCTCCAGAATTCTCTTTTGCCGCGGGCCTTTGCCGCCTGCCAAAGCTGTCCTGTGCCAGGCTCCGTTCCTCAAGCAGATACTGGAAAAAAGATGATGCATTTCGGTTTCTGTTTCTGAAGCGATCTTTCCGTTTCTGTGCCGGGCCAGGTAAGGGGAAGAGCGAGGTATGAGTGATGACGTTGTGTTTGGGGCGAAGCCCCCAATGGGGAGTTCCAGGGGGGGCGTAGCGCGAGCGGATGGGTTTTATGGCCGTTTTCGGGTTTCCCTTAGTTTTTGCATGCTTTTCGGGCTTCCCCCCAAGACGGCCCAAGAGCGCTCCAAGAGAGTACAAGACCGCCCAAGACGGCCCAAGAGGCCACCAAGAGGCCCCCAAGAGGCGCCCAAGGGGCGTCCAATCATTGATTTTCCAGAGGAACACGTATATTTTAGTGTGTATGTATATATATATATATATATATATATATATATATATATACGGAACGAGCGGATTTCACTGCGGTGACGACGGCCCAAGAGCCCCCACTACCGCCCCAAGACGGCCCAAGAGGCCCCCAAAACGGCCAAAGAGGGCGCCAAGACGGTCCAAAAGGCGCCCAAGAGGGCCCCAAGACGGTCCCAAGAGAGGGACCACGAACCGAAAAGTCTAGCCTCTCGTTCCAACACGCTCCCAGGAGGCCCCATGAGCCCCCCAAGAAGTCCCAAGAGGCCCCCAAGAGGCGTCCCAAGAGGCCACCAGGAGGCCCAAATTATGCATTTTCTGTTTAAAAAACTGCATTTGTATCATGCAAGGCTTTTCGGCTTTCGCGGCGTTGAAGACGGTCCACGAGGCCCCAAAGACCGCCCCAAGACGGCCCAAGAGGCTCCCAATAGGCCCCCAAAACGGCCCAAGAGGGCGCCAAGACGGCCCAAGAGGCGCCCAAGACGGCCCATGAGGGCCCCAAGACGGCCCCAAGAGGGGGACCACGAACCGAGAAGTCTAGCTTTTCGCCCCAAGAAACTCCCAGGAGGCGCCCAGAGCCCCCCAAGAAGCCCCAAGAGGCCCCCAAGAGGTTTCCAAGAGGCCTCCAAAAGGGCCCGACAAGGGCCCCAATAGGACTCCCAGGAAGGCCCAGAGACGTCAAATCAAGAGTGATCGGTAACGCAAAAAGTTCTTCACACCAAGGCTCTCAAGAGCGAACGGTGACGTAAACAAGCTGATAAGACCAAGTCTCCCAGCAGAGAGCGGTGACGTAACAAGTTCCTGACACCAAGGCCCAGCCAAGGCTCAGGAACGGGCGGCAACGCAACAATCTCTGAATACCAAGGCTCCCAAGAGCGAGGGGTGACGTAACAAGCTCTCAACGCAAAGGCTGCTGGTACGAACGGTGGTGTGAGTAATTTCGGTTTCTGTTTCTGAAGCGATCTTTCCGTTTCTGTGCCGGGCCAGGTAACGGAAATAGCGAGGTACGAGTGATGACGTTGTGTTTGGGGCGAAGCCCCTTAGGGGGAGTGCAGAGGGGGGCGAGGGTTGCCCAACTGCGTGTTAATGGTCGTTTTCGGGTTTTCCTTCGGGTTCCCCCCCAAGACGGCCCAAGAGCGCTCCAAGAGAGCCCAAGACCGCCCAAGACGCCCCAAGAGGCCCCCAAGAGGCTCCCAAGAGGCCCCCAAAACGGCCCAAGAGGGCGCCAAGACGGCGAAAGAGGCGCCCAAGACGGCCCAAGAGGGCCCCAAGACGGCCCCAAGAGGGGGACCACGAACCGAAAAGTCTAGCTTTTCGCCCCAAGAAGCTCCCAGGAGGCCCCCAGAGCCCCCCAAGAAGTTTCAAGAGGCCCCCAAGAGGTTCCCAAGAGGCCTCCAGAACGGCCCGACAAGAGCCCCAATAGGACTCCCGAGAAGGCCCAGAGACGCCAAATAGAGAGCGATCAGTAACGCAAAAAGCTCTGCACACCAAGGCTCCCAAGAGCGAACGGTGACGTAAACAAGCTGATATGACCAAGGCTCCCAGCAGAGAGCGGTGACGTAACAAGTTCCTGACACCAAGGCCCAGCCAAGGCTCAGGAACGGGCGGCAACGCAACAATCTCTGAATACCAAGGCTCCCATGAGCGAGGGGTGACGTAACAAGCTCTCAACGCCAAGGCTCCCGGTACGAACGGTGGTGTGGGTAATTTCGGTTTCTGTTTTTGAAGCGCTCTTTCCGTTTCTGTGCCGGGCCAGGTCTAATGGCCTTCGGCCCATCTTGCCACAGTGCTTCGGTTGTGGGTCTGAGGCCTCTTGGTTGTTCGTTGGGATCTCGTCGAGATCTCTCGAGGGTCTCCTGGAGGCAGTTTTGCAGCATCTGGGTACTGTTTTGGAGCCTCTTGGGTCCTTTTGGGGGCCTCTTGAGGTCCTCTTGCGGCCTCGTGTGGGCCTTTTGAAGGCTTCTTTGGGGCCTCCTTGGCGCCTCTTGAGGCTGAAGGGTCAGATTTGCGGTTCGTGTTCCCCCTCTTGTGCTTTGTCGGGCCGTCTTGGGGCCCGCTTGGGGGCCTCCTGGAGTGGAGGAGAAAAGTGCAGGCAAGGGAGGGCGCGGAGAAAGAGCAGGAGGAGGATGAGAGAGGGGCGAAGGCAAGGAAGAGGGAGAGGTCCGGGGGAAGGACAACAGCGAGGGGGCGGACGGCGGACAGCGACGATGACGGCCCCGCTCGCGCCCGCCCCCTCCAGAGGTGCTGCACTTCGAGAACGGCCCAGACGACGTCAAGGCGTTCATCCAGGCCAGCCCCCTGCCCCTCCTCCCCCCGCTGCCCGTGCCCCCTCTCCTCCTGCTACTCCTGCCCTCCCGCCAGTCCCTGACTCCCCCCCTTCCCCCCCCCCTCCCGCCCGCCCCCGCCCTCGCCCTCAGGAGGCGGACCCCTCCTCCCCCGCACCGCCCTCCCCCCCCTCCGCCCCTCCCTCCCCCCCCCCCTCCCCTTGCCCCTCCCCTCCCGCCCCAGACCCCCCCTTCCCCGCCCCGCCCCCGTCCCCCGCCCCACCCGGACCTGCCATGGCCGCCTCGGGGGGGGGGGGAGGGGGGAGCATCGGGAGGGAGGGGTGGAGGCGGAGGATGGAGGGCACGACGCGGTCCAGGACGGTTGCGCCCTACGGGCGCTCCTCGCTCCGCGAGCGCCTGGGCCTGCTGGGCCAGGCCCCTGGCCGAGGGACCCGCGGCACCACGGCTCAGCCCCTCGGCCCCCCTTGGCCCTCCAGGCCTCGGGGTTGAACCTCCGACTCTCCGAGCCGAGTCCAGCAGCGGCGGCGCCGACAACCAGCGGCCGCCGAAGCCCCTCGCCTGACTGATGCGCTGGCTGCCCTCTCGTGGGCCAGCTGCCCTGGGCTTGTCTCCGCGGCCTCGTCCAGGAAGGAGCTCCCGCCCGAGCAGGGAACATCAGGAGCATCAAACCTGGAGCTCACGAAGCTGGGGCCCGTCGGAGGCGGGGGACTAGGGAGGATGAGAAGGAGGAGGAGAAGGAGGAGGAAGAGGAGGACGACGGCCTCCGTAGCCATTTGGCTCAAGTCAGGAGGAGGAAGCCGACGGCCTCTGTAGCCAGTATGCTCAAGGACTTTACTTCGTGGCGGGTGGATTCTGCGGCCCCACCTCTTCCTTGGCGAAGGCCAGGACTCGTTGCCAGCATTATTCGCACACATGTATCGTAGCCTCCCTCCTTCTCTCTTGCAACAACGGTGGTTCCTCTTGCTCAGCGTTATTTCTGCTATGACCCGTGGGTTCGCTTCGAAATTGCGGTTAATGGCTGGGAAAACGGGTGGCACACCAGGGGCAGAGGAAAGTGATTGAAACGGTGGCAGACGTGTCGTGTGCATTTTGCGCTTACCGAAAGAATTGCCATCCCCCCTCGTTCATGCCCCGATTACGTGTCATCCGCAGCTTGGCGGTCGTTGGGCACAAGATGTTTCGTCCGACCCATCTGTGTTGGCGGGGGTTCGAGCTGGCAGGTCGGGTTCAAAGGAGGTACAGGCGGGAGCACAGGCAAATGTCAAGGTGATGCATCAGTTTGGATTGCAATGTTTTCGGCACTCAACGGCGCGCTGCCTCCAGGTCCAACCCCCGACATTTTCGGAGTCGGAAGTTCCGATGTTCGCCGATCCCAGCATCAAAGTTGGCGAAACGGCTCGTGGTCAATACCGCCCTCAGCTGGCTAGTTCGTCCGGCGCAGCAGCGAGTCCAGCAGGCACACATTGAAGTCGAAACGGACATGAAGACATTGTCGGCGTAACCCAGTACATTGAGAACTTAGACGAGATGGATTCGGGCAACAACATTTTTTGGTGGCGCAGCTTCAACAGGATCTGGACGCAGCCGTCAAAGCACGCACTGACGTCATCGCGGTGTCTGTTCAGACGATTCCCACTCAAGCCCAAGAGCCGGGTCAGACGAGGGCGCTGGACAACCGCGATGTCGTGGAAGGTGATGCCTCTCTCCATGCTTTGTTCTCGCTCGATGCCCTGCGCGACGTCGAGAAGGAGGCCGAGGAGCTCGACCTCTCCGAAGCTGATCGGACGGAGGTGGGGGCGAGGAGGGCCTCGATTGCGCCCAGCATCGAAGAATTGGCAACACAATTGTCCCAGGGAGTGCTCAAAGCACCCGAGGAAGCCACAGCAGCGCATGCACTTCATCAATCTTTATTGCGCGAGGAGCGCGAGACTCATCACGTTGAGTCGACACCAGGCGGTCCTCCCGGCGAAGGCCATTCTTCTTCGCCGCCAATGACGCGGCAGGGTCTTCGTCGAACGGCAGGGCAAGGACCGCTCATCCCAGTGGTTCGTCATCTCAGGCAGCGACCCTGGCGGGCGTTCACAACGCCGTCGACAGAGATCTTCGCTGGGACACGGCTGTAGTTTGTTTGAGGAAGGGAGCTCTCGTATCTCCAGGGCGTCATGAAGTTTGGCACCTTCAACTCATTGGTTGGGCATTGCTGTCTGGTCGCATTTCAGGAGGACTGCCCCCCGCAGGCGGCATTCCAGGAGCGCCGCTCTTGACGGGGCCGCTGTTGGGGTCGGCGGGAGGGGCGGGGAAGCGATTGGGGTTACTTGCGGCCCCACAGGGCCGCGAATGTATATTCACAACTTCTAGCAATCCCATTTGGCGCCTAATGAGCTGAATATCCCCGCCCTCCTCCACGTGGCGCCCCTCCCAATTCCCAAGTAAAAGTTATTATAGACTTAACAAAGTACATGCCAAACGTTGCTTCCTTGCTACCTTTCTTAATTTCATGTACTTGAGTTGTCTCCAGGGTGAGGGCAGGCGGATGCGAAGAGAGAGGCGCCATAATTTCTGTGTATCTCAACTCAGGCCGGAGAATGTTTGAGAATTCCAGTCGTTAGCTTTGTAAAAGGTTTCCAGTGGGCAGAGAGTTTTTGCGGAAACCCAGCGGTCACGCCCCTGGCGGAATCCCAGGGGCCGCTGTTCTAGCAGAGTCTTTGCGGTCACAGTCCTGACAACATTTCGCGGCAATCGGGTGCGCGCAGCTGTTCTGATTCGAGTGTGCCGTTGCGCCACTCGGCCCCTCCGACGCGGGCGATATCTTCGGGCGGCATGAGTTTCGCCAGCGGGGGCGAGGAGGAGGAGGAGGCGGTCTATCTTGCAGGAAGCCCGAGTGCCTTCGTTGACATCGAAGCGTCGGGCGCGGCGCCTGCCGGTGGCCCCAAATTGTTCCTGATGCGACTCTCCAGTGGTCCGCCTCGTCTCGCGGAGCCCCCCCCAGTCGCCGCGGTTGCGGCGCGCGCCAAGGTGCCCAAGGCACATCCTTGCGCGAGTCACGTGGTGCAAGTTGCGCGATGAGAGTTCCGTCGCGCCGCCCAGGAGCGGCGCGCGGTCGGGCGAGCGCTCCCCGAGGGAGCGCGCCGCGCCCCTGCGGGCCGCAGTCCGCCCGCCTCGACGGGGGAGTTCGCGCGGCCGCCGTGCCCCCCGGCTGCTTCTTCTTTCTTCGGGGGGGCAGCGCAGCTGTCCGCCATGCCTGGGGGCCGCCTGCTGCTCCTCGCGACTTGGCGTCTGCAGGAGAGGCTGCCTGACGTTCGTCGATCCCCCTCGGGTTCTCGGGCTTTCGGTGCCGACTGGTGAGCGCGGCCATCGGACTGCCCGTTTTTTCGTTGATATTATTTTTAGTATTTGTCGTGATTTCGACATTTTAAACATTTCTAAAAAGTTAGATATTGAAAAACAAGTTTGAATCATTAGTATTGTGGATGCGCCGCGCGATCTGGGGCCTGCGGGGGCCGGCCTTTTCCTTCTCGGGCGACGCAGGGGGCGCGTGTGGGCCCTGCAGTGCTGAAGGGGGAAGTCTCCGCCTTTTGCTCGTTGAGCTGTCGGGCACTGGACGCCCGAACGCTTTGCCGAGCGGGGTCTTCGGCCCCCGCGGTGGCCCATCGGAACCCGCGGCTGGGCTCGCATGCCTCGCGCCATTCTGGCCGCGGCTCGCCGCTGGAACTGCGCGCTTCCAGCTGTCCGAAACTTGTTGTCCGCGCCGGGGGCGGCCGCGCCATCTTCGACATTTGCGTTCGCATGGGCTGCGAGGATACGCTGAATATGCGCAAGCGCTGCCCGGTGTCCACCCGCAGGAAGGGAAGGGACCTGCGCCCCGACGCGCCCCCCGCGCGCGCGCGCGACCGGGGCCCGCGCCTTGCGAGCCCCGGCCCCGGCACAGAGAGCCTGCGGTTCGGTCTGGGGGGGGTTCGCAGGGGGATGGCGTTGCGCCCGCGAGGCGGACGGTCCACTGCAGCGGCGGGCGCACCTCCCGAGGTTTCCTGGACTCGGGCCCCGGCGCCCGCGCGTGGATTTGTCAGGGGCAGCGGATGGTGGGCGAGGAGGCCATCGATCGCGTTCCCCCTTCGGCCCCCATGCGCGCTGGAAAATCCACGCGGTTGGCAGGCGCGGGCGGGCCGCACGGAGGCGGCAGGGTCGCCCTCCCTGCCCACCTCCCCAGCGTGCGGGCCAAGACCCTTGCCCGACAGCTTACTGGACCGTTCTTCTCCAGCTATTCACAGCGACGCGAGGCGGGGTCGGCGCGAACGTCGCCTTCCCTGGGTTGCGCGGTGGCGGGCGCCCGCGGGGTAGGGTCCTTGCGGCCCTTGCGCGAGGCGCGAGCTCTTGTGCCCCCGAGTCAGGCAGGTCCCTCCAAAAAGCAATATTTGCCAGGGCCCTGCCCGTGGCGAAAAGGTCATTATCCGCCTGAGTTGCACCGAGGGCACCAGCCGCATCTGACAGCAACGCCGACGAGGCCATTGATGTAGCCGAATGCAGGAGCGGTCGCGGCGGCGAAGGTCGAGGCGCGCCTGGACGCGCAAGAAGAAGCCCCAAACGGCCCCAGCAGCGCAAGCGGGAGGACCAGCAAGGATGCAACGGGAGCCACCTGCTTTGAACAACCAGCCACGCCAGCCCCAAGCTCCGTCATGGCATCGCCTCATGCGAACGAAACCTATCAAAGCGAGGCCTTTTTTGGGAGGCCTGCTGAGTCTAACAGTGGTTGCTCAAAACGCACGAACGGCCTGGCCTCGGGGCCCAGGCCAGGCAGCTCGGCGCCGAGGGGGCGCCCGAGGTCCAGCCCCGACCTGGCCAGCCCAAAGCTGACGTGCCTTGGTCAGCAAGGACGCAAGATCCCCCCCGTGAGAATCAGACACCTTAACTCTAGTTTAACCAGACCGAGTCCGCGTCGTTCATCTCAGGCGAGGGCCCCGCCTCCAACGGAACTGGCAGCGGAAGCGGCATCCTAGATGGTGCGAGCCTGCAATTTTGGAGACCGAAGGTGGAAGCGCATGCTGACTGGCCGATGCGGGCGCAAAGAGAGGCCGCCAGCGACGCCCGCGCCGCGCACGCCCCCGCCGGAGTCATCCGAAACTGAGAGGACACCGAAAACCACGGGGAAGCCAGGTGGCGAAGGTGGAGGAGGAGGAGGAGGAGGAGGAGGAGGAGCAGGAGGAGGAGGAGGATGAGGAGGAGGAGCGTGAGAACAGCGGCAGCTGGAGGAGCAGCCAGGTCCTCAAGAGCTCCTACTCGACCGCGCTCCCGCAGCCCGTCAAGACGCAGGACGGCGAGACACAGTCGGCCACGACATGACATTTCCCCCGCCCGCCTCCTGCCTCCTCGCTGGGCCTCGGCCAGGGGTCCCAGCATCGGCGACTACAATGGGTGTGGTTACAGCCGGACCGAGGCATAAGATCGAGGTCGGTTCGAGGAGGGTACCCTCATGTTTTTCGTGGTTGCTGGATGTTCTTGTGCATCCTGGGGGAGGGTACCCTCGAATGTTGTTTTGTTTGGGCTGGCGGAGGGTCTCGTGCTCTTGAGGGATGCTCTTCTGTCCCAGGTCCTGCTGTACGCCATGGTGTGGGTTGCGATCGGCGTCGTTGGGGCTAAAACGGGATCACCCACGTTGTGCCGAAGGTTTGATGAGCCCTCGTCCGGACGCGGCGGAGATCTCTGTAGAGGTCCCCCTCAGGCGCGGACTGCAAACCACATCCTGTGCAGACCACGTCCCTCGGAGTCGGCAGCAGCGTCCGTCGGTGCGCGGACCAGCTGACCAGTGCGCTGCCCCACTCTTGGCAGGACTCGCTCGGCGTCGGCCACGGGCGCTGTCGACGCGGAGCAGACGTCGGCCGCCCAACGGCGGCCGCCGTCATTTTTTGGGGGCAGCATTCGCTGTTGGGCGTCGTCTTCGTACTGGTCCGTCCCCACCTCGGGGCGCGCCACAGGCAGAAGCAGTCCAGGCCTCCAGAGAGCCTCCCTGCGCCGCCGTCTCCACCTCTTCGTCCATGCCTCTTCTTCTTCGTCTTCTTCTTTTTCTTCTTCCCTCTAACCTCCTCCTCTCTCCTCCTCCCCGTCCTTCTCCTCGTCGTCATCTCTATCCTCCTCCTCATCCTCCACCTCCCCCTCCTCCTCCTCCTCCTCCTCCTCCTCCTCCTCCTCCTCCTCCTCCTCCTCCTCCTCTCCTCTCCTCGCCCTCACCCTCCTCCCTCTTCCCTCACCTTCGCTTCCTCACCCACCTCCCACCTCCGTTCCCTCCTCGTCGTTGGCCTCCCCCGCATCTTCCGCCTCCCCCTCCCCCTGCTTCTTCCTCCTCCGCCTCCTCCTCTGGGACTCCTCCTTCTCCCCCCCATCCTCCTCCTCCTCCTCCTCCTCCTCCTCCACCTCCTCCTCCTACTCCTCCTCCTCCTCCTCTCACTCATCTTTCTCTGCCTGCCCCCTCTTCCACAATTGCACAGCATGAATACTGCTCTTCTCTCTCCCCTGATGGCGTCCGGAAGATGTCCGGCATTCTCCGCGTATTGTTGTTTTACGCAGGATTCCCAGGAGTTAGGTGTTCGCTTGGGCTTGTTTTCAAAATGTTGTTCTCGCTGAAGTGCTGGCCCCACTCCTCTGGTTGTTCCGAATCGTTGTCCCTCTGCAGCGCAGGTGTTTTCGATCCTTCCAAGCAGGCCCTACAATCTAGAAAACGACCCCCCCAGGAAAAAACATCAGAAGTGATTCCACATTCGGTGTCGATTCGTTCATTTCTGGGGCCGCAGAAGCCCCCCACCCCCACTTTGGGGCGTCGTCTTCAGGAAGTATCAAGCGGCCACCCCATTTCTGCTTTGAGAAGGGGATGCTGAAAGCAGCAGAGCCAGCGGGTGCTCTCGATCAGCCCCGCCTCGTGTGGAGCTTCTGGGGGTACCCAAGGAGCTAGACATGGAGCCACGACTCCAGCCCGGCCCTAGACCTCTCGAAGGCGATCCACTCGCCATCCAAAGAACTCCGCGCCGTTGTGCGGTGCCGTGCTTTGCGCTGCAGGTGCGTTGTGATGCAATGCTTCCCTGCGCAGTGCCGCGCCATTCTCTACGGCGCGCTACGCTCTGCCGTGCTCTTCACTACGCCATGCCATGCCGCGCGCTGTACCACGCATCGCGTACCCTCTCGCGATCACTGCCCTGCTTGACATCCGACTCTGCGAATAGAGAGGATATTTGCGCCATGGTAAGGGATGGGAGGGAGAGTAGGACGTCAGATGTTACGCGGGCGCACCCAGCTTGGCCCGCCCCCTCCTCCCTCCCCCTTGCGAGGGGGGCGGGCGCAAGCCGGCATCGCCTCTGCCCTGGGCCCCCTCCCGCCCCCCCCCCCCCCCCCCCCCCCCCCCCCCCCCCCCCCCCCCCCCCCCCGAGGAAGCAGCCGCTCGCGGGCCCGCGCGGCCCGCCGTCGCGGCGGTCGCCGACCAGTCTCTGGACGAGGAGGATCGAAGGGGGGGGGGATCGAGGAGAAGGACCGCGGAGGAGGAGGAGGAAGGTAGGCAGGCAGGTAGGCAGGTCGGGCCGCGGAAGCGCGGGTCTGTGCCCGCCTCGGCCTCAGCCGAGAAGGTCTGCCCAGAAGACGGATTTGCACATGTTGCTGCCGGAGAGCGCGCCGAAGGAGAAGTCCGTGAGGGGGAGGACGGCCCGATTGGGCATCATCGCCCTCCCCCCGCCGCACCGGAGCTGCCTCCGTCGCCCTCCCGCACGACGTTGCCGAGAGGCTCGAAGGCGACCTTCGCGCGCGGCCCAGCGCCATCCATGCGGACTCGGGTGGCCGCGTTGCCTGCACCGACGACCGTGCCAGCGCGCCCCGCGTGCTGGCCCTCCACGATGCGGGCGCGATGGCCCTTCTGCCCGGGGAGCCCCGCGCTTCCTGCAGCGACTATCGCAGGAGCTGCCGCCCGCCACAGGCCATCGGCCCAGGTGTCGTCGAGCAGGTCCTCCCCGCCCTGCGCCCCCTGCTTCACCTCGGCCGCCTCGGAGGGGCCAGCAAGCGCCCGCGGCGCTGCGGTGCCATAGAGTGGCGTCGGGCCGCCTTGGCCCGGGCGGTATTTCTTGCCCTGCGCCGCGTCGCCCATCGCAGCGCGCACCACTCCTTCCTCCTCGTCCTCCACGTGGCACTCCATCGCCGCCGCCAGCGCCGCCACTCCCGCACCCGCTCGCCCACCTCCCCCACGCGGACGGCGCCGCCGCCGAGAGGCAGCAGCGGGCGATGCCGTTGCCCTGGGGGGCGCGGCGGGGACGGGCGGCGCCGCGAGCACAGCGACGGCCGACCTCAGGAGACCCTCGGCGGCTCGCGCGAGGCGCTGGGCCTCGCGATGCCCGCCCGTCAGCCCAGCAGCAGCATGCGTCGCCAGGAGCGCCTCGCGGAGAGCGTCCTGCGACACGCGCGCGCAGCGGGCGTTCTGCGTACCAGGCATCGGAGCGACGGCGGCAGGGCCTGCGGCGGCGACCTTGAGCGGATATGGCACTCGCGGAGGAGGAGGCGGAGGAGGAGGAGGAGGAGGAGGAGGAGGAGGAGGAGGAGAGCTAGGCTTCCCCCAAGATCAAGGAGTTGCCGTCCGCAGGGGGGACGTCCTGGTCCGTCCCCCTTGCCTTCTTCGCCGTCGTCCTCGGCCCACCTCGCCGCCCGCCCGCTTCGCCGCGCCCCACTGCGAGGAACCCGGCCCCCGCCCCTCGCCGCTCGGCGCCGGGCTCGCCGCAGGCGCTGCGGCGGTGTCAGGCCGCAGCCCCTCGCGATGCGGGCGGCGTCGTCGCAGTCGCCGTCGACAGGTCGCCGTCGTCGTCCTCGTCGCCGCCGTCGCCGCCGCCGCCGCCGCCGCCGTCGTCGTCGTCGTCGTCGTCGTCGTCGTCGTCGTCCGTGGTCGTCGTCGCCGTTGTCGTCCCCGCGTGCCGCCGTCTTGCTCAGTAGGATGTCTGGATCGCCGCAGATTCACGGAGGTTGTCGGAAGCTGCTCGGAATGTCGTTGCCGCCGTCGTCGTCATCGTCGCTTTCAACGTCGTTGTCTTGGCTGTCGTGGCCGTAGTATTTGTAGTGAGAGCGCTCGTCGTCGTCGTCGTCGGCCTCCACCGCCTCCTCCTCCTCGAGGGGGGAGGGAGGAGGAGGAGGAGGAGGAGGAGGAGGAGGAGGACGAGGAGGAGGAGGAGGAGGAGGCGGCTAGGAGGACGAGGAGTAGGAGGAGGCCAGGAGGTGGAGGAGGTGCAGGAGGACAGCAGGCGAAGAGGGGAGAATGATGACCAGTGGAGGAGAACGAAACAAGACGGAGGCCAGAAGGGCGGTGAGTCGGGCTCCCCCTTTTACGCCTGCTCCTGCTCCCCCTCCAATCGCCCCCCTCTACTAGTAGGACAACGACGGACGACGACGATGACGACGAAGACGACGACGAAGACGACGGCGGCGGCGGTGGCGGCGACGACGACGACGACGACGATGACGATGACGACGACGACGACGACGACGGCGACGACGGCGACGACGGGCGACGGACGGCGGACCACGCACGACGGATGACGACGACGAAGACGGAGACGAAGACGAAGGTGTTTCGGGTCGGTTCGGGGGCCGGGGGCTAACGTAGAATCGAGGCCGTCGTCGTCGTCGTCGTCATCGTCGTCAGCGCCATTGCCGTGGCCGTATCACTCGTAGTGAATCCTCTGGTCGTCGTCGACCCTCTTCGCCCTGCTCGAAGGAGGGAGGATGCCGAAGATGAGAGAGAGGATGTGGCAGCAGGCGAAGAGTGAGTATTGACGTCTTGTGGAGGAGGACGAGGAAGAGGAAGGCGAGGAGGGCGGCGAGTCGTGCCCTCCCGTCGCTATTTCGTTATCAGTATCGAAGACGCCTACGGCGAATCACCGCCGCCCCCTGCCTTTGTGGAAGCGCCTATGTGGCCGAACGTTGAGGCCAGACCTGCCAAGCCATCGGACCATGTGTTCCCCGAATCGGTTTGGAAAGCCTTCGGGGAACACGTGGGCGTCTTGATGGTCATCGTCGTCGTCTTGGAGGCCTCTTGGGCGATCTTTCGGCGATCTTTGGGGGCTCTTGGGCCGTCTCGGGCCGTCGGAAGGCCGAAAGAAGGGAAATGCCCAAATCCATCAAAAACCTTGGGAAAATCAGTGATTTTGGCATCTTTTGGCCTTCCTGGAGGCCCTCTTGGGGGCCTCTTGGGCCCTTTTGGGCCAGCTTCGAGCCAACTTCGGCCATCTTGGTGGGTTCCTGGCACGTCTGACGCCGTCGGGAGCCGTTTTGGGGGCCTTTCTGGGCCAACGGGGGACCCTCTTGGGGCGCTCCAGGGCCGTCTTGGAGGCCATCTTGGGCGTCTTGGAGGCCATCTTGGGCGTGTTGGAGGCCTCTTGGGCCGTCTTGGGGCCCTCTAGGGGCCATCTTGGAGGCCACTTGGGCCATCAGGGGGCTCTCTTGGGGGCCTCTTGGGCGATCTTGGGGGCTTCTTGGGCCGTCTTGAGCCGTCGGAGAGCCGAAAAGGCGCAAATGCCAAAATCCTTCAAAAACCAAGGGAAAATCAATGATTTTGGCCTCTTCGGACTCTCCTGGAGGACCTCTTGGAGGCCTCTTGGGCCGTCTGGGAGGCCTCTGGGGGGCCTCTTGGGCCGTCTTGGGCCGTCTTGGACTCTCTTGGGCCGTTTTGGAGGCCGTCTTGGACCATCTCGGGCGGACTTGGAGGCCATCTTGGGCCATCTTCGCGATTTTTTGAGGATGTCCCGAGCGAAACGGCCGTTTTTGCGCACGGTGGCGGGTTCTGCCGGAGCCCACTGGGGAGTTCTTTTGGAAAAAGAACCAAAACCAAAACCTAACAGCTCGTCCAGCACGCCGTGCACCCCTGCAAGCAGGGGGCGGCGGATCCAGCTGCATGCGGCAAGTCCCGCCACCGTGTCAGCCCAACATGTTGGGCTTTGACCCTTCGACAGGGCTCGGATGCCTGTCATGTGCGACATTTCGGGTCATTTGAGCAGATCTTTGGTGGCGTGTGTGGCCTATCCTGAGCTTCTGAGAGGCCGTTGTGGGATTCCCTTGGGGCACTCTTCTGCCGTCTTGAGGCTCTCTTGCGCTGTCTTGGGCTCCCTCGGTGCCCTCGTGACCGTCTTTGGAGCCACTTTGGGTTATCGTGGGGCCGTCTTGGGCCGTCCAGGGGTCCTCTTAGGCCGTCTTGGCTTCCTCCTGAGGGCCTGGAGGGCCAACTTGAAGCTCTCTTGAGACCGGCCCGGGCTGTCCAAGGCCCGTCTTGCGCTGTCTGAAGGCCGTCTTGGAGACTGCTTAAGCTATCTTGAGGCTCCCTTGGGCCGTCGTGGGGCCATCTTGGAGGCCTCTTGGGCCGTCTTGAGCTGACGGAAGCTTGAACAGGCGATGATGCGAGAAAATTCAAATTCATAATGGAAGTCCACGATTTGGACCTCTTCGGGCCATCCTTGGGGCTCTATTGTAACACTCTTTTCCCGTCTTGGAGGCCTCTGGTGCCATCCCGAGGCCATCTTGGACCATCTGGGAACCATCTTCGGCAGTCTCGGAGGCATCTTGGGCCTATTGGCTGCTGTGGAGGTCCGTTTTTGAAGCCATCTGGGGCATCTTGGACGCCTTGAGTGCGCCAGGAGAGTGTCTGGACGCCGACAGCAGAGCCTCCGGAAAAGGGGGCGATGCACGCAATTCTACGCGGCTCAGGATGGGGGGTGCCCCAAGAAGATTACAGAAACCCTGCCAGACAGCACTTGGCATTCCAGCACGCCTCAACGTGCCAGGGGACACGGTGGCGGATCTACTCCCGCTGAACCACCTAGCCGGCCGATCGTCACCCAATCCAGTTGGTCTCACCCTACCAGTCAGAAGCGCATAAACACAACATCACGTCTCAGCATGGACATGTGTCGCCCTTGCTCCTGCCTCGGCGCCGCGCTCATTTTTTGGGAGACTTGAGCTCCAGCTGAGGCGTGGCGCACACTTGTCGCACGCATTTTCTTCAGCGCGCGCGTTTTCTTCAACGCGCGCACACTTTCTGGTCGGCGGGGCGAGAGCGAACCTCTTCTGGTAAAAGCTAGTCGGGCTACGCACAGCTCTAATTGGGGAGACAGGGCATAGGCGGGCGGGGCCTCAGGCGGCCGGTGAGGGCGGGGCCCGGGGTGCAGGCGGTGCCGAGGAGCTTGCACAGGAGAGGTTGCGCCGTGGACGGGAGCCGGAGGCGCAGATCCGACCCAGCGCGCGCACACGTGCCGCACACGTTTCGCCAGAAAGTGGCGGTCCCTCCTCGACGCGCGGGCCCGTGCGGGTGGGCGGCTCCCGCGGGCGGGGCGACTCGTCGCCCTCGCCCAAGTTCTGTGCGCCTTCGGCTTGGAAGTGCCGTTCCAGCGCGGGTGGTGCGCATGCTTCGTTCGCCCAGAGCTTATTTCAGACGGCAGCGGCAGCGGCGCCGCGCGAGAGCGGGCGAAGAAGCCGGGTGAAAGTGGTAGCGCTGAGTCAGCGCGGCGCACGCTTCGTCTGCGCCGCGCCCAGCGGACGCGTTGCCGCTCCTGCCCCGGCGCGGCTCAAGTCGTCGGAAGCGGGGCCGCGCGCGAGCGCCTGCCACCTGCGAGGCGGCAGTGCGTTTCGATCCAAGCCTCAATGTGTGCCACAATTGGTTTTCACGTTGTGGGAGGGAGGACGGGGGTCGGCGGGCCTCTGGCTCGCTCGGCCTGGGTAATTCGACGCCTGCTCCTGCTCTCCCTCCCCTCGCAACCCCTTCGACGAGTAGGACGACGACGGGTCACGGACGACGACGGTTCACGGACGACGCCGCCGCCGTCGACGTCGACGCCAAGACGCCACGACGCCACGACGCTGACGCCAAAGCCAACGCCGACACCGCCGCTGCCGCCGCCGCCGCCGCCGCCGCCGACGTCGACGACGACGACGACGACAGGAGCGGCGGGGGCGGCGGTGGCGACGGCCACGGCCACGGCCACGGCGCCGGCCACGGAGTCGACGACGGCGACGACGACGACTACGACGACCACGAGCGGCAGCGTCGGCGGATGCCCGCCGCGCCAGGGCCAGGCCGCCGCGGCGCGGCGTAGGGCGCTGCGCCGCACGGTGCGCGCGTGACGCCGCCCAGAGGGGCGTGCGGTGGGGCGCGCGTTGCGCGTGGCGGCTTGGGCCGCGGAGCAGCTGCGCGCAGGGGCCGAGGGCGCAGCGTCGTCCTCGTCGCCGCCGTCGCCGTCGTCGCCGCCGTTGTCGCCGTCGTGGCCGCCATCGCTGTCGCTGGCGTCGCCATCGTCGTCGCCGCCGTCTTCGCCGTCGTCGCCGCCGTCGCCGGTTTCGTCGTCGCAGCCGCGCGCTGAGCTGGGCGTCGCGGCCATCGCAGCCCCTCGCTGCGCTCTGGGCGTCGTCGGTGACGTTGGTGACGTTGGGACGTCGGGCGTCGGTTTTCAGTCCGTCTCGGTCGTGCATCGTAGTCGTCCGTCGTGGGTGTCGTCCTTCGTCACACGATGAAGAGGGGGGCAGCGCGAAGGGCGGAGATGGGCGAAGAAGGGATGGGGGGAGAGGGGAATGACGGGCAGGGGGTCGGGGAGCGGAGGGGATGTGGAGTGCATGGCGGGGGGGAGGGAGGGAGGCTATGCGCAGACCCTCGAGGAGCTGATAGGTTCAGGCTTGGACGAAGATGATGGGCGACAAGCCGTCCTGCCGCGGTCACTGCGCGGACTCTCCCTCCCATTGCCGACTAGGCTGCGCGCAGTTAGGGAAACAAAAAGTGGCATAAACATAAAAACTCGGAGGTCCGCGCGGATTTCTCGGATCGGCGCTTGGGCCCCTCGGCGGCGCCTCCAGCGCCGCCCCTGGCGCGCTCCGCGCGCCAGGGAGGGGGGGTCCAGCGCCGATCCGAGAAATCCGCGCGGCCTCTGAGTTTTTATGCTTACTATGTCGCTTTTTGTTCCCCTAGCAGTGGCAGCTTCCCACGCTGCCGAGTCTGCGCCTCGCGCGGCAGTCAAGCGGGTGGCTGCGGAACCTGGCAGGCCGACAGACGCAGCGCCGGGTGACGCGACGGCTGCAGGGAAAGCTGCGGAGGTTCTGCGCGCCCTTCGGGGTCTGAGGCCAGGCAGGCGGTCCTCACATTTGCGGTGTGCACATGGCGCCGTTACGACGCCAGGCCGTGGGTGCAGGGTGCCCCGGCTCGGGGCCAGGAACATGTCGACTATGCCATGCTATAGTTGTCCACCCCCTGGGGGCAAACGTTGGAAACGTTGGCCCGAAACACGGTGTCGACGTTTGTCGGGCGAAGAGAACTATGCACATGCACCGATCTTGGCAAGGCCCATCCTTGACCCAGGATCGGTGCATGTGCCTTCCTGGCCAAGGCAGGAGGGCGTATGCACCGATCCTGGGCTCGGGATGGGCCTGGCCAGAATCGGTGTGTGTGTGTGCATAGTTCTCCTTCCTCCAATTTGCTTCACCCCTTCTCGCCCAGAGTACCGGCCAGAAGATTGTACACCACACGTTGTCCGGTGGCTTTTTCTGCGTCGCCCCACGGGCAGCGTGAGGTTCCTGCCGGCTGCTGCGGTCTTTCTGCGCTCCCTCACCCAGCAGCTTCCAGTGCGCGCCGGCTGGCGCAGCGAGGCGCGCTGTGGCACGCGCTCGCGCGACCGTTCCCGGGAGCGCGACCGAGCCTCGAGCGGCGTCCACGCGCTAAGAGGCCACGAACCCGCACGCCGCCGTGCCAAGCAGCAGCAGGAAGCCAAGCATCCGGCAGGACGTGTAGGCAGAGGGGAGCGCGTTTGGCTGCCCTTCGTAATATAGGAGCATGCATCGGATGCGCCGCAGAAAATTGTCGCTCGAGCACGCTTGGAGGAGGCAGGGAAGGAGGGCGCGGAGGGAGAGCTACATGCACTGTCATATTTGTCCGCTCTCTCGGCGGCGTAATCCGAACCCCACCCTCGCCGATCAACGATTCAGGCCACTCGAGTGGCGGCGGGGGTAGAATTGCGAATTCGTCGAACGCGTTGCGAAATCCGAGCCCCACCCCCGCCCCCCGTCGATTCAGGAGAATCGATGGTTGCTGGGGGTAGGGTTTGGATGCTGCTGCTTTGTCTCGTCTGGAGGCGAGGGCAGTGGCGCCTTCCGGAGCACCGTGCCTGCTTGCCCGCCAGTCCTCCGCATCGCCAATGCGCGCAGTGGTCGATGGCCACCCGCGCCCAGCGGGGCCTCGCAGCGCCGCCCCAGCGGGGCCTGCCGAGCTCGAGGCGCAATGCTGACGATGATGAGCCTTGTGGAGTTCCACTTGTCGGCAATCTCCATCATCCCAGCCTCTTCCCAAAGGGCCACGCTGGCCGCCTAAGGGGCCAGAGTGCGATTGCCGCCACGCTCCAGCGCCACGCTGCGTGCACAGGCGCGTCCGTCGACGCCGTGCGCCACATCCCTGGCCTCTACGTCGAGTGGGCGGACGGTAAAGTCGTCGAGCGCATCATGGACCTCGTCATTGCCTGGCCCGCGTCCGGCCACGAAGCCCTGCTCAGTGACCATCCGGCCCCGTTCGCCATCCTGCTTGACATCACCAGCAGGTCGCATGAGAGACCTGGCGCCGCCGCACTCACGGCGGAGATCACAAGGTGTTGCATCACAGCCAGGCGCTCGCTCCCTCCGCCACAGAGATCTTCGGCCAGATGGGCCCGTTCGCGCAGCACGCCCTCGCAGCCATGCGCCGCGTGAGATGTGCGCTCGGCAAGCTCCTGCCGGGCTCCAGGCGAGTTTCGGCGACCAATCGGGAGCCTCCAACGCGGTGTGGTGACAACACCCCGTTGTGAGTCCGTGGGAATTCGGGGTCACGACGCGGTTTGGGGACTCGGGTCGTTCTCCGAGGACGTCTCGGGCGACTAGGGACCCCGAGGTCCCAGAACCGTACGGTGACGGACCGCACGGTGGGGTCGGTGCGGATTCCGAGATCACAGCGCGGTCTGTCACCACACTTGCGTGGGGCCCTGGAATCCATCTGCGAGCCGTGCGCGCTGATCTTGCAGCGGCGGCGGCGCAGAGCGTTGCGAAGCAGGGGCTCACCGCTTTCGGCGCCAGTTCAGTCGAAGTCCTCGGAAGGCCCGCCGGGCAGGGTGGCAGCGTTGGCATTATGAGGGAGTGACGTGCGCGCGGAGTCTGGCATGTGGCAGACAGTTACTCTCGATGGCGTTCGGGTGGGGAGGGAGGGAGAGAGAAAGAGAGAGAGAGAGAGAGAAAGAGTGGCGGGGAGAGAGGGGTGTGAGTGATGGATGGTGGGGGGAATGGCGGGAATGAAGCCGGCTCTTTTTCTCCCTCTCTTCCTTCTTTTCTCCCCTTCCCCACGTACCTTCCCCGAGGCGAGGAGGATGCACAAGGAGCAGGAGGAGGAGGAGCCCCCTGCCCAGAGGGGAACTGGTTTGATGTGAGGTGGTGTGGGTGATGGGAAGCCTTCGTTTGCGCGGGCCTCTTTATCTACATATGGCCTTCCGGGTTTCTCCACGTTCTCGCCTTTCGTTGCCCTTCTACTTATCACTGTGCGCGCACTGCTCTCATAGTCTCTGTGTTCACGCGTGCGCCTTGCCTTTTTCCAGCACGAGCGTTCCGACGCGGCGATCGCTTCGACCAGCGTCGGCGTGTCGCAACAACAGAAACCCGCCGTCGCCCGATCCCGCTGCCCCGCGCCGCGCGATCTCGCGCGAGGCCTTTCATGGGCGGCGGTGCGCTGATGATGGCCTTGCCCCCAGCGCCCCTCGCCTCTGCCCGCGAGGAGCAGGAGGAGCAGCAGGAGAACGGCCCACGCCTCCGCGTCCGCTTGCGAGGATGAGGAGCCTCGGGGGTAGGGCGAGGAGGAGGAGGAGGAGGAGGAGGGGCAGCATGGTGAAAGGAAGAGGCTCATTATCTTCGGCCCCCGCCCACGAGGATGATGATGAGGAGGAGGAGGAACCCACAAGAGGGAAGGTAATGGAGAGCGCTCGAGGAGGAGGAGGAGGAGGAGGAAGAGGAGCTGCAGCAGGAGCAGGAGCAGCGGCGGCATTGCAGGAGAGGGAGGGCGACCAAGAGGGGCAATCATAAGAAACGGAACAACGGTGAACATTACCTTTCCCTGGTGCGCTGGCAGTGGCCGGCTAGCGTTAGCAACGCGTGTTTCCGTTCGACATGTGTTTCCCTGTGCGCAGCATGTAGTATTGCCCGAAATAGAGGTGCAGTGAAAATTTCACACGCAGTGGTGGCCACACTGCTGGCCCAGTCCCGGTTTCTTTTTTATTTATGACCTTCCGGTGGTTGCTTAATTTTGGAGGATCGTTACCTCGTATACCGCCTACGCTAACAGCCAGCCGGGCAGCCGGTGCCGCCGACCCTGACGACGGCGACGACGAGCAGAACGAGGATGTTGAGCACCTCTTGGATACGTCTGGGCGCCTTTAAGGGCCCTCTTGGGGCGCTCCCGGGAACCTCAAGGCGCTGTTGGGGCCATCTTCTAGGAGATCAATCAAAGAAGGGGGGTTCCTTACTCAAGGCTCCCCCTCTCGGGGGTCCCAACGATCGCCTCTTGGGGCGCTCTTGGGGCGGTGCTAGAGCGTCCTTTGGCGACGGAAATGGCATTCTGACCTGGGGACCCCCCCCCGGGTCTCCCCGGGGACCCCCCCTTGGACGGCCACCCCCGGCGGTGAAAGGATCAAGGGAACGGTCGAGTGAATTACGACGTTCGTTATTGTCGTTCTGGTGAGCACGTTTGAAGAGGAAGGCCCAGAGTAAGAGAGGCAACGGTTGGCAAGTTGGAGAAGACCCAGGAGAAAGCTCGGAATCGCCTTTTAGGCTTCGCGTCCGCGACCGGACGGACTCAGGAGTTCAGGCTGCTCCGAGGGCGCTCGCTAAGATAAACGTTTGCCTACCTCTCGTCTCTGGTCGCACTTCAATGGTAGCCGGAGCGTGAACTACGAGACGGGGAGGCGGGCACGTCGCGGATGCGATGGCCCAAAGAGAAGGTGCTACAGCTTGGAAGGGCGCCCCAGGACGCGCTTCCCACCAGAGCAGCAGCACCGACCGAGGAGGCAGCCGACGAAGACTGGCACGACGGATGGCCAGAGCACGG